GACTGTCACTATCCTTTTCAGCCTCAACTTCGCCCTTTCCTCTATGGGGGTGGGTCAATGTCAACCACATTCTTTTCCAATTCATGGCAGGGCTTGATCCTCCTACTAGGAATCCATATTGTCTGGCTGTCATCTGTCAAAATACAAGCAAACCCTTGACCACAAGTTTTTACCTGCTCTTCTTTCCATTTATCTATAGTTTCATCCTTCCACCAGATAGGTTAGTGAGAAAGGGAGAGAGGCTGTCTATTCTTCTCCCAATGTTTTTCCACTGCCGTTAGGGTATCTTCTTTTCAAATATTCAAAAAATTTAGAGTAAAGAAGGCTTGATTTATTCTGTCTTTTGGTGTACACATCCCTCCCCTTTTTTGTTTAGCAAGCATAGGTTTTAAAGTTTGATGAGAACGTTCTATGATAGCCTGAACTTCAGGATTATAGGGAATGCCAGTAACATGTTTAACGTCCCAGTGTGACAGAAAACTGCAAAACCATGAGCAGAGTAAGCGGACCACTGTCTGTTTTTATGGCAGCAGGAATACCCATAGTAGAGACACAAGAATATAAACTAGAAAGTACATGATGTGGAGGGAGTGGCCATTATGAAGCCAGAGTAAGTATCTACTATAACATGTACTACACCGAGTTTACCAAATTCAGGGGTGTGAGTGACATTCATCTGCCAGAGTTCATTAGGTGAAAGGCCTCTGGGATTAACTTCAAAGGGGAGTCTGGGTTGATTAATAACTTGACGCGTAGGACAGTGAGATACAATGTTTGGCTTGATTAATTGTCATTTGAAATTTTTGAATTAAATCTTCAGTGTTAGTATGAGTCAATTGATGAAACTGAGTGGCATCCTGAACTGAGCCAGTAAGTAATTGACCCACCTTCTCATTACCAGCGGCTAATGGTCCTGGGAGGTGAGTATGAGATCTAATAGGAGTAATGATAAAAGAGACTGGCAGTCTTGAATTATTGATTGCAGATGTTGAAACAAGGCAGAAATTTCATCATTAGATGTGATAGTAATTATCTCTGTAGTATGAACTACTTGAACAATATCTCTGGAGAGGTGATATCCTGCAAAAGTTGAATGACCTCCTGTAACTCTACCTTTTGTGCTGAGGTAAAGGGAGTTGATCACACTTTTGTTATAGGTCCAGAATATCCTGCTCTACCGGTATTGCTGCCATCAGTAAAGAAAGTAGGAACTCGAGGAATTGGCACAGATTTTACTATTTTAGGTAAAATCCACTGAGTTAATTTCAAGAACTGAAACAACTTGTTTTTTGGATAATGATTATCAATTGTTCCTACAAAATCAGATAAACCTAATTGCCAGTCTATATTTTGCTGGTATGCCATTTGAATTTGAGAAGTTGTTAGGGAACTACTATTTCGACAGGGTCCTGGCCATTTTATTGTCTAAGCCACTGTGGGCCCTTAAATATAAGTTGTCCAGTTTTGCCTAAATAAGTAACAAGTTGCTTTTGCTGTCTGTGTGGTAAGAACGCCCACTCAACTATACCTTCTTCTTGAATCAATGTTGCAGAGGGAGAGTGTTCTGAGGGTAAAAAATTAAATCTATGCCCTTTTATGGGATCCACTCTAGATAACAGGGCATGATGTATGTGAGATTGAATCCAATTTAATTGCTCTTTTGCTGCCCTTGTCATCTGGTGAGCACTATTAAGATCAGGGTCACCTTTTAATATATCAAATACATTGCTTAGCGCATAAGTGGGAATGCCTAACATAGGTCTGAGCCAATTAATATCTCCCAACAGCTTCTGAAAATCATCTAAAGTTTGTAATTCGTCTGTTCTAATTTGTACTTTCTGAGGAACTATTTTATTTAGGTCTATAAGAAACCCTAGGTAAGAAAATAGGTATTCTTGCGGGGCACAGTGGCTCATGCCTATAATCCTAGCACTCTAGGAGGCTGAGGTGGGAGGATTGCTCAAGGTCAGAAGTTAGAAACCAGCCAGAGCAAGAACGAGACAGCATCTCTACTAAAAATAGAAATAAATTAATTGGACAACTAAAAATATATAGAAAAAATTAGCTGGGCATGGTGGCACATGCCTGTAGTCCCTGCTACTCGGGAGGCTGAGGCAGAAGGATTGCTTGAGCCCAGGAGTTTGAGGTTGTTATGAGCTAAGTTGCTGTGGCACTCTAGCCTGGGCAACAGAGTCAGACTCTTGTCTAAAAAAAAAAAAGAAAATGGATATTATTGAACTTTATCTTCTGCAATAATTAGACCATATTGAGGCAATAAATGTTTAGCTTCAGCATACAATTGATCTAAATTTTGTCAAGAGGGGCTGGCAAATAGAATATCATCCATACAATGAATAATATTACTATGAGAAAAAAAACGATTTCTCAATTGTTCCAAAGGTCCATTAACAAAATGCTGATATAGAGTGGGGTGGTTAAGCATGCCCAGAGGTAGCACCTTCCATTGATACCTTTGAGTAGCCTTGTGATTATTTAGAGTAGGGACTAAGAACCAAAAGAAAATTTTAAGGTTCATCCTCCCCGCTGGCTGACTAAATGGACCCCCTCGTGGCAAAAGGAATATCCTAAAACTAAATTGCCCACCAGGAGGAAGGAGGTCAAACACACCTTATCACAACCCCCTTGGTTGGATGACCCAGTTAACTTTCACCACTTGCCAGATTCTTTCTTTCTTTCTTTCTTTCTTTCTTTCTTTCTTTCTTTCTTTCTTTCTTTCTTTCTTTCTTTCTTTCTTTCTTTCTCTCTCTCTTCTCTCCCTCCCTCTCTCTCTCTCTTTCTCTCTCTCTTTCTTTCTTTCTTTCTTTTCTTTTACAGTCCCTGTTGCCTGGGCTAGAGTGCCATGGTGTCAGCGTAGCTCACAGCAACCTCAAACTCCTGGGCTCAAGCGATCCTCCTGCATCAGACTCCCAAGAAGCTGAGGCTACAGGCTCCCACTGCAACACCCTGCTATTTTTTAAATTTTTAGTAGATATGGGGTCTGGCTCTTGCTCAGACTGGTCTTGAACTCCTGAGCTCAAGCTATCCTTCGCCTGGGCCTCCCAGAGTGCTAGGATTACAGACATGAGCCACCCGCACCCTCTATATACATATTTTTAGAGGCAGGGTCTCCCTCTGTCACCCAGGGCTGGAGTGTTGTGGTGTCATCATAGCTCACTATAGTGTCAAACTCCTGGGCTTTAGCAATCTGCCTCAGCCGCTGGAGTAACTGGGACTACAGACAGGAACTGCCACTCTTGGCTTATCAAACTTTTAAATCTTTGCTTATCTGCTAGGTGAAAAGTAGTACCATATACTATCATCTTTTATTTGAAGTTGAGCAGTTTATATATGTATTCTTCATTTTTATTCCTTCTGTGAACTGTTTATTTTCTATTTTTTTGTTTATTGATGAATAAGAGCCCTTCATCAATTATATATGTTGCAAATATTAAGGTCATTAAATATGAAATGTCTAATTTTGAACCAAAAGTTTAGTTTATTATATCTCAAACAAGAAGGAGCATAATTAATCAAAGTATGTGCCTAAACTATTAACTCAGTTTTGCTGTCTTAACGGTAGCTTGTTTATGCCAGCATCAAGAAGCCTGGAGAGGCCCGGCATGGTGGCTCACGCCTATAATCCTAGCACTCTGGGAGGCCAAGGCGGGCAGAGTACAAAACCAGCCTGAGGGAGACTCTGTCTCTACTAAAAATAGAAAGAAATTAATTGACCAACTAAAAATAGATATACAAAAAAAATAGCCAGGCATGGTGGAGCATGCCTGTATTCCCAGCTACTCGGGAGGCTGAGGCAGTAGGATCGCTTGAGCCCAGGAGATTGAGGTTGCTTTGAGCTAGGCTGATGCCATGGCACTCCAGCCTGGGCAACAAAGTGAGACTCTGTCTCAAAAAAATAAATAAAAATAACACAATTTTTTACTTTGTCCATAGTTTCAAAAAAATTGCTCTAAAAAAAACTTTGAAAGATGGATAAACCTTCACAATAAAATAAAACAAGAAGTGTCAAGGTGAAATGTCAGAGATACCAACTGTCAAACTTAGTACTTAAGGAAATCGGACATTTCATACTTAACCTAAATTGGGTGGGGGCTGGTTTGTCATTTGCCTTCTGACTTTGGTTTTCATTCGTGTTCTAAACTTTTATTTAGTTTTCAGGTACTCAAGATTTATTAATTTTTTTTCTGTATGGCTTCTAAGTGTTTTGTTATGTTTAAAAAGAACTTCTTAACTACAAAATGTTAAAAATTCTCTCATACTTTCATCTTTTTTTCCCTTTCCATTATAAAGTCTTAACTCTTTGGTCAAACTGGTCTGTGTTTATGTGCGTGGGTGGGTGGGCGAGTGCGTGTTTGCACGTGGGCAAGGAGGCAGGAGAGCAGCTTTATTCTTTCCATGTAGCTAGCTACTTGTACCAACTTTATCACATACTAAGCGTCCTAGACGTCTCAAACGACAGAGAAGAAAAAAAAAACCGATTTAAAAGAAATGGTGAAAGCTTTTCAGCAAAGGCCAGCTCATTCCGGCCACTACCTCCTGCAGGGAGAAAAGCCTTCCTTTCCAAGCTAGCTCCGGAGCCCGAGAACGCGGGAAACCAGCGGAACGCAGGTGTGCTAGTGCCGGGAGCCGGTCGAGCCCCACCACCTAGGACTGTACGGCAGCGGGGGAGCGCTTTGGCGGGAACACAGGGCCGCTTGGAGGCTGCCGCGATGCTCCCCTCCTTGCAGGAATCGCTGGATGGGGTCGAAAAGGAACTAGAAAGCAGCGAGGAGGGTGGCACCGCCGAGGAGCGGAGACTCGAGCCGCCACCCAGCAGCCACTACTGTCTCTACAGCTACTGCGGAAGCAGGTGCCGGCGCCCGGCCCAGCCTACCCGCCCGCCCTTGCGTCCCCGCCCCGGGCCGGCTGCCTGGCTTTGCACCCCACCCCCGGCCCAGGGCCGCTCCCAAACGCCATCTTCTCCTCTCCCAGCCGAGGTCTCTGGCCCGAAGGGCCCTCCAAGCCGTTCTTCCCGGGCCCCGTCCCGGGCTTTTGCGCCTGGCCTTCTCAAGCCTCTGCTCTCCATCTGTCCCTGTATCGTCTCCGCCCCTTCCTCTCGCCGCTGCCCTTTGTTTAGCTCAGTGTCCTGCATGCTCAATAATGTCATTGCCCATCCCCTGTCCTTTCTGTCGTCTCTCCCGTTCCCCCATTTCTGCCACACACCCCAACCCCACCCCCCTGGTTTTCCTCTGCCCTTGCTGCCTCTTACTGTCTGACTTAACTGGGGCTTTCTTGGCCCTGTAAAGTCTGGGTTTTTTTTTTTGTTGTTGTTGTTGTTGTTGTTTTTAATAAGAGTTTCCTTGAACCTGCTGGGTGTTTAGCCTTTCCTCTACCCCTTAGGTGGCCTGGAGAGAGAAGGGGCTGTTGTCAGCACTGTTTTACAGGTTTTCCCTGCCATGAGGACAGGCAATGGAGGACCCTTGTAATTTCGACTTTGCAGCATTTTAAGTTGACTCCTCGTCCTTACCTTGCTTGCGAGGCCCCCAATACTCTGCTTGATTTAGAGCCCTTAATTGATAACACTTTTGCATTTGTGCTTGCAGATTGGCACAGCAACGAGGGGACAGTGATGATGGAAGCCCAAGTGGCACAAATGCAGAAACTCCCTCTGGGGATGATTTCAGGTAAAAACAGCTTAACCATAACCCATGCATGTGCTTTTTATCCTTCCTGCATCTCTGGCCTGTAGATGTCAGTGGATACCCTGTTTCCACTGAGTCAAAGAACTTTCCCTGAGTCAAACCATCAATTCCTTCTATGCCCTAGGAACCTCATCTTGATTTCCTCATTAGCTCATTCATTCATGACTGGGGCAGATACAAATATTGATATTGTCCCTGGTGATTAGCCAGAGAGAATTATTCTGAGTTTCTTGATTGGAATTCCAATAAGATATTTGATATCATACTACAAAGAAATTTAATGTACAGTATGGTGACTATAGGTAATGACATTATATTGTATTGAAAAATCCTAAGAGAGTGGATAGTAAGTGCTCTCACCACAAAAATGAAAACTGTGAGATAATGCATGTTAATTAGCTAGGTTTAACCACTTTACAGAGTATATAGGCTTTATTTATTTATCTATTTATTTATTTGTTTTTGAGACAGAGTCTCACTCTGTTGCCCGGGCTAGAGTGCCATGGCATCAACCTGGCTCACAGCAACCTCAAACTCCTGAGCTCAAGCAATCCTCCTGTCTCAGCCTCCCAAGTAGCTGGGACTACAGGCATGTGCCACCATGCCCGGCTAATTTTTTTTTTTTTCCTTCTCCTAATGCTTCCATGTGGATCGGCTAATTTTTTCTACATTTTTTAGTTGTTTGGCTAATGTCTTTCTATTTACAGTAGAGATGGGGTCTCCGCTCTTGGTCAGGCTGGTTTTGAACTCCTGAGCTCAAATGATCCGCCCACCTGGTCCTCCCAGAGTGCTAGGATTACAGGTGTGAATCACCACGCCTGGCCCAGAATATATAGGCTTTTAGAATATATAGGCATGATGTTGTACATGATAAATACAATTTTATCTTATCAATTTAAAAATAAATTTGGGAAAAAAAGAAATTTACTTATATCTTAGAGACAAGGTCTTGCTCTGTCACCCAGGCTAGAGTGCAGTGGCACAATCATAGCTCATTGCAGCCTCAAACTCCTGGTCTCAAGCAGTCCTCCCATCTTGGCCTCCCAGAGTGCTGAGATTACAGGTCTTAGCCACCATGCCTGGCTGAAAAGAAATATATTTAAAATCCTCTTTTTGGCCGGGCACGGTGGCTCACACCTGTAATCATAGCACTCTGGGAGGCTGAGTCCGGCCGATTGCTCGAGGTCAGGAGTTCAAAACCAGCCCGAGCAAGAGCAAGACCCTGTCTTTTATAAATAGAAAGAAATTAATTGGCCAACTAATATATATAGAAAAAATTAGCCAGGCATGGTGGCACATGCTGTCGTCCCAACTACTCGGGAGGCTGAGGCAGCAGGATTGCTTGAGCCCAGGAGATTGAGGTTGCTGTGAGCTAGGCTGACGCCACGGCACTCACTCTAGTCTGGGCAACAAAGCAAGACTCTTGTCTCAAAAAAAAGATAATAAATGATAAATAAAAGATAAATAAATGAAATAAAATCCCCCTTTTCCCCCTTTGAATATTCTTTGGTAGGTCCTCTACCACACACTAGAATGTAAACTCTAGGACAGAAGGAGTTATTTCTTTTGTTAATTGATGTCTCCCTATCATGTACTTTAAGTAGTGTTTGTCACAGGGTAGACATTTAATGCATATTTGTGTTTTTGTTTGTTTTGGTTTTTTTTGAGACAGAGTCTCACTCTGTTGCCTGGGCTAGAGTGCCATTGCGTCAGCCTAGCTCACAGCAACCTCAAACTCCTGGGCTCAAGCAATCCTGCTACCTCAGCCTCCTGAGTAGCTGGGACTACAGGCATGCACCACCATGCCTGGCTAATTTTTTTTATACGTATATTTTTTAGTTCTACAGCTAATTGCTTTTTCTTTTTCTTTTTTTTTTTGGGGCAGAGTCCCACTTGTTGCCCAGGCTAGAGTGAGTGCCATGGCGTCAGCCTCGCTCACAGCAACCTCAAACTCCTGGCCTCAAGCGATCCTCCCGCCTCAGCCTCCCCGAGTAGCTGGGACTACAGGCATGCGCCACCATGCCTAGCTAATTTCTTATATATATATTAGTTGGCCAATTGATTCTTTCTACTTATAGTAGAGACGGGGTCTCGCTCTTGCTCAGGCTGGTTTTGAACTCCTGACCTTGAGCAATCCGCCCGCCTCGGCCTCCCAAGAGCTAGGATTATAGGCGTGAGCCACAGCGCCCAGCCCTAATTTCTTTCTATTTATAGTAGAGACGGGGTCTCGCTCTGGTTTCGAACTCCTGACCTTGAGCAATCCACCCGCCTCAGCCTCCCAGAGTGCTGGGATTACAGGCATGAGCCACCGCACCCGGCCTGATACCGTTCTTTCTGACTTAGAAGTGTGAATATATTAGTCCACTAGTAAGAAATGTGTGTCTTTTATTTGTCAAGCCTCTCCTTGGCTGATACTAATCTCCCATCTGAACTGGAGCCAGAGCTGCGCAGTTTCATTGCTAAGCGTCTTTCGAAGGGAGCGGTCTTTGAAGGGCTGGGTAATGTTGCATCTGTGGAGCTAAGGTAAGTGTAAAATATGCTGTGTCCCGAGTTTTTATTTCTGAGCTAAATATGAGAAGTGATGAGAAACTCCAAAAGATCATCTTCTGCTAGGCCTGCAGAGTTCATCTTTATTTTCTGGCAGCCTGAGCCCTGGGCCACACACATAAACATTTGCATAACAGAATTAATTGAATGTTAGAGACTCTGGTGCCTAAGTGTACTTTATTTAGTTTTGTACTTAGAAGAAAAGAATTAATTGCTAAAACTAAAATTGTAAAGTTTACAGTTTTTAAAGTGTTTTCACAAACATTGATGCGGTTTTCCTTGCAAAGGGAAGATAGAACAGATACTCTTATTTCCATTTTCAGATGAGGAATAAACTCAGAGAAGTTAGGTGGGATGCGCAAGCTAATAAGGCTAGTTTTTTTTTTTTTTTCTTATTTTTTTCTTTTTACCTAAAATGGAAATTGCATACATACTGGAAAGGCTAGTTGAATTGATATTGATGGAGTTCAGACTTAAACATGGGTGTCTTCAGTCCAATTTGAGCCATCTTTCCGTTAAACCTCTTAATAGTAGTTCAACTCTGACCATGAAGTCTGCATATAGGTCACCTCAGGAGGAAGATGAGGCCACAACCCAAGGATAAGGCCGCAGGATAAACCTGGCACATCTGCCTGAAGCATCAATGAGTGTGAAGGTTTGGGAGAGGGAAGAACATGCTTTTATTAATGTTAACATGGCTTTACTATGAACAAGAGTGAAATTTGCATGAATTTTTCACATAAGACAAGAGAATTCAAAGAAATTTCATGTATGTTAGCAGCTCCTTTACCTAAAGCCCACCAGGGTATATACATTCATTTTCCTGTGCTGCTATGAGTAAAACAAGAAGTGTGGGAAACTCTGGGCAGTTTAACAGTATTGTCAGAGCAAGAGGACCAGGGGTCAGAGCAGTCCACAGAACTAGATGCATGAGTTACCAAAATAATCATTTTACATTTTTTTCCAATTTCTTTTCTAGAATTCCAGATTACCGAGTTGGTTGTTACTACTGCCTTTTCCAACAGGAAAAGTTGCTTCCTGAAACAGCAACAGTGGAGTCAGAACATAACCCTTCAGAGTATGTGGTCTGTTTTTTAGGAGGGTCTGAAAAAGGACTTGAACTATATCCTTTCTTTGGTCTTTGAGTATATCAGGAAGGAAAACAGGAGAGGGCAAGTGGAGGAGTATCACTACCAACCTCCAAAAAGCTTTTCACTCCTTTCTGCATTTACTTGAATTTCATATCTTGACATGGCCATTTTGCATTGGCTTGTTTTAATTTACAGTTCGCATTATCTGAGAGATTTTGTTTTTCCTGTTGAGAGATAAAACACTCGATTATTCATCCTCTGTTGCTTCCTTAAGAAAATACTTTCAGGCTTGAATTGGACAAGTATATTCAAGGGCTGAAAAATAATATGAACTGTGAGGTAAGATGATTTGATCTAATAGTTTTTTTTTTTTTTTTTTTTGAGACAGAGTCTCGCTTGTTGCCCACGCTAGAGTGAGTGCCGTGGCGTCAGCTTAGCTCACAGCAACCTCAAACTCCTGGGCTCAAGCAATCCTGCTGCCTCAGCCTCCCGAGTAGCTGGGACTACAGGCTTGCGCCACCATGCCCGGCTAATTTTATATATATATTAGTTGGCCAATTAATTTCTTTCTATTTATAGTAGAGACGGGGTCTCGCTCTTGCTCAGGCTGGTTTCGAACTCCTGACCTCGAGCAATCCGCCCGCCTCAGCCTCCCAGAGTGCTAGGATTACAGGCGTGAGCCACCGCGCCCGGCTTGATCTAATAGTTTTTTTAAGACTAAAATGACTAGCATAATATACTTTTCAAATCTTATAAGTAAACAAAAAGACACCTAAATTATAGAAACTTGTTACCTTGTGGGCTAATAGAATATTTTTAAGGGAAGCTGAGAACATAGTCCTATAAGTGCTGAAAGTTTCATAAGACTGCTTCTGATGTTTCATATCTATGAAAAATTCAATCTATTAAATGAATTGGCACGTAGTAACATGTCTGGCAAGAAAGAGGATGCCCTTTTCCTGATTTCTAAGCACACAGGATTTATGTTCTAGTCGGAACTAAGGGTCCATGCAGCCTCTGATACCAAAGACATACTGTGCGATGGTATAGCTGTCCTTCATCTCAACACTAACAATTTTCCATTTGTATTAATTGATCTTTTACTCATTAGATATATCCATATTGACTAATTTATCCAGACCTTTTAAAAACTATGCTTTCGGCTTTTAGCATTTGTTAATGTTATGACTCTCATAAATTCATTGTCCATCATGTATAGTAATAGTTCCTGTTGTTTGTCATATACATACAAGATACCACAGGAGAAAGGACAGGATAGCATAGGAGTGAGCCAGAGATGCAAGTCTGGGGGAATCTGTGCTCTGAGACTAGAGCTCTTCCTATGTGACACTAGTCTCCAGAAAGCAGCATAGCCTAAAAAGCCAGATGTGTTCGTGGCAGCACATCTGACCGCTAGAGTGGGCCAGAGTGCTTTGATGAGCTCCTTGTATCCTTCCCTGTTCACATGTTGGGTTTGAATGAGTTTTCTGTTTACATTCCTTCAGTCATTCAGTGGGCATGTAATAAGATTATGTGATGCATGTTTCATACTCTGTACCAGGTGAAATGATTATTAAAGAGTATCTCCAGTGAGTGCACAATATACTGGGGGGAGATGGACATGTAAATACTCCTCCCAGTAAAGAAACAGCATGGAACCCTATCCATTCAGTCTCTTCATCTTATAGAATGCCTTTCTTAGTGTGTTTTTAAGGAAATTCAGTACAGACTTAATCCCCACTTTGTCCAACAAGCCCAGGAAAGCTATATCACAATTCGTTTTTTTAAGTTGGTAGTGTTACCTTTATAAAAGAGATGTCTGTCCCAGTTCTCACTGTCAAGAATATGGTGAAGACGATATTAAGTCCACTAAGGTGAAGGCATATTAATATTAGTTATATTAATATACATTATATTTATATTAATGCAAATATTATATTTAGCAAATTACATTGTCTCTTGATCTAGGAAAGGGGCCTGGAGAACCACATAAAGTCCTATCTGAGCAGCTGGTTTGAGGATGTTGTATGTCCAATCCAAAGAGTTGTTCTTCTCTTTCAGGAGAAGCTTACCTTTCTGCTACATGCCGTAAGTATTACCCAAACAGGAACATTTCCTTCATCAGGAATCCTTTTGGCAGAGTTTAGATTATGTAGAGACATACTCCTTTTATCTGAACATTACTCCCCCCCCCACCAAATATTCATTCAAACTATGCTTGCTATCGAGATAGACCACACTTTATTTTATATTGGCCATGGGTAGTGGCTCACGCCTATAATCCTAGCACTCTGGGACTAAGGGGCCATGCAGCCTCTGGGTCCATGCAGCCTTGGGTCCATGCAGGGACCCGACTAAGGGTCCATGCAGCCTTGGGTCCATGATTATCCCAAATTTGCCAAAAACAATAGTAATTCTAGAAATATGGAAAGGCAGGCAGATCGTTTGAGCTCAGGAGTTCAAGACCAGCCTGAACAAGAGTGAGACCCCATCTCTACTATAAATAGAAATAAATTAATTGGCCAACTAATATGTATGCAAAAAATTAGCCAGGCATGGTGGCGCATGCCTGTAGTCCCAGCTACTCGGGAGGCTGAGGCAGGAGGATTGCTTGAGCCCAGGAGTTTGAGGTTGCTGTGAGCTAGGCTGATGCCATGGCACTCTTGCCCAGGCAACAGAGTGAGACTCTGTGTCCAAAAAAAAAAAAATTTTAGTGAGCAGCAGCTGAACAAGGTTGCAGAGAGCCAATGAGCAGTGCCCATCAATTGTCATCTGTTGTTGTGGTTATTGGGGAAGGCAACGTTTAGTCATGAGTAGCTGCTCAATAGGGAAAACTGCAATACATGTATCTATCTGTCTTTATTTTTCTCTCCTAGGCCTTAAGTTATACTCCTGTTGAGGTTAAAGAATCAGATGAAAAAACAAAGAGAGACATTAACAGGTAAAGAACAGTTTTTGCAAAGAGAGAACCTTTTCCACAGTGAGCCTTGCTTTTACATTTTTAATCACCCCCATCCCCCGAGCGCAAAATGCGTTTGTTTTCTCCCTCCTATCCTATAATATTGTTTGTGGAAAAGGGCTTGTGTATGTGTGGCAGGTTTCTGAGTGTGGCCAGTCTCCAAGGACTTATTCACGAAGGCACCATGACATCTTTGTGCATGGCCATGACGGAGGAGCAGCATAAATCTGTGGTCATAGACTGCAGCAGCTCCCAGCCTCAGTTCTACAATGCAGGTGAGCCACAATCTCTGATGCAGCCTTCCTGGGTCTCTGCTGAGCCTCCATCTTTGCACTGAAAACAAATGACACAAACATGTTCTTCCCACCTTGTGCAGTTTTACATGATTATCCCAAATTTGCCAAAAACAATAGTAATTCTAGAAATATGGAAATCACATCATGCCTAGCAATTCTACTCTGCTAAAGAAATGTGTACATAAGGAAACAAGTTTTTTTTTTAAAGTTCATAAGAGCATTATTTGAAAAAACAAGGAATTGGAAGCAACTTAAATGTTTATCAACAGGAAAATTAATAACCTGCTATATTCATGTGATGGAATATTACAGAGCAGTGAAAATGAATGAACTAGAGCCACATGTGTCAGTATAGCTCCCAAGCATACTGTTTAATGAAATAGCCATTAAAGAAAAATACATGAAAGTATTAACATATATCAAATAATATATATAAGCTTAGAGATACAAAGGTATGTGGCAAAAGTTTAAAGAATTGGGAATGATAATTAATCCTTTCTGGGCCGGGCGCAGTGGCTCACGCCTGTAATCCTAGCACTCTGGGAGGCCGAGGCCGGCGGATCCCTCAAGGTCAGGAGTTCAGAACCAGCCTGAGTGAGACCCCGCCTCTACTAAAAATAGAAAGAAATTAATTGACCAACTAAAAAAATATATATACAAAAAATTAGCCAGGCATGGTGGCACATCCTGTAGTCCCAGCTACTCAGGAGGCTGAGGCAGCAGGATTGCTTGAGCTCAGGAGATTGAGGTTGCTGTGAGCTAGGCTGACGCAGCGGCACTCACACTAGCCTGAGCAACAAAGTGAGACTCTGTCTCAAAAACAACAACAAAAAATCCTTTCTGAAGGCAAAGGACCAGGGATGTGCTTGGTGAGAGGCAACCAAGGGGCTTCAACAATTTTGGCTTTTTTTTTTTTTTTTTTTTTGATTCTTCAGCTGAAACAGCAGGTGATTTATTGTATACTTGTTACACTTGGCCACAACTGAGAATAGAACTAGTCCAGTATGTCAAGTCCAGGGCAAAGGACCAGTAGGGACTGTTTTGGTATGAGCAAGATGGTTCTCTCAGAGGTGGCCTTGGCGATCGGATGGCGGTGAAGTTCTAGATCCACTGAGAGGCAAGTTCTGGACAGTAGCATGCAGTCCAACAACTTGTACTAACATCCCCGGACTCTGGCATTCCATGTTTCTGATCTTGTGGCCTTCACGTGTGCATAAGCAAGCAGTTTACTTGGACCTCTGCCTCATCTTTCTTTTGCGCTTCACCCTGCACATTCGCTTCTTCCTCCACTTGGCTCTCATGACGCAGAGATTTCTACAAAGATGGCACTAAGGCTGAGAGGTTTTGGCATTTCTTAGCCATTTGGTAAGCACACAGCTTTTTTTAGATCATTATAGGAGTCTTAAATAATTCATTATACATGTTTTTATAAAGAAATAAATGTCTTGGTGCATACCTGTAGTCCCAGCTACTGGGGAAGCTGAAGCAGGAGGATTACTTGAGCCCAAGAGTTTGAAGTTGCCATGAGCTATGATCACACCTGAGAATAGCCCCTGCACTTCAGCCTGGGCAACATAGTGAGGCTCTGTCTCTAAAAATAAAAAGGTTTTAAAAATAAATGTTTTATGCTTTGTAGGATTTCATTTTTATTGATTTAATTTCTCTAAAATATTTTGTAGGAAGCAATCGGTTTTGTGAGGATTGGATGCAGGCTTTTTTGAATGGTGCTGAAGGGGGTAACCCTTTCCTTTTCCGACAAGTACTGGAGAACTTTAAACTAAAGGTAATTAGTTGGCTGTGTGCCAGGTGCCAAATAAAATTTTTGTCTGAATTTTAATTAGTACCAATAACAGTGTAACAAATCTGCTTTTACAGCTATGATGTTTATTAATTGGGACATTCTCAAAACTGAAATCATCAGAAGACGCTTACTTTATTTTAATTTTTTCAGTAGCTTCTGCATACATATCATTTCCAATAAATTGGGTTGAATGTTTGCTTAAATGTAAGGGACATCAGTCTTACAATTTGTGACTTACCTTAGTTGCAAAGCACAAAAAAGTGGTTCAGTGCCTAAAGGGGTCAAAATTCTGATGGGTGTGTGAGTATTGTCACCTTATTTAGGAGATTTTTTAAGTATTTTTACTATATATGAGGTTTTGTTCTACCAAGAGCAAAGCATATTGACAATAAAAATGATGGAAATATTTAAAATAAGCAAATATCTCAGCAGCATATGTTAAGTTCTTAGCTAGATAGGAGATAATTTTTAAGCTTAGTTATTTTCTGACTAAACACATATTTAACTGGTTAATCTTTTTCTAGGCCATACAAGACACAAACAATTTGAAGAGATTTATCCGGCAGGCAGAAATGAACCATTATGCTTTGTTTAAATGTTACATGTTCCTTAAGAACTGTGGCAGTGGAGATATACTTTTGAAGATTGTTAAAGTGGAACATGAAGAAATGCCCGAAGCCAAAAATGTGGTAGCTGTCCTTGAAGAATTCATGAAAGAAGCTCATACCCAAAGTTTTTGATCATATGTTTTGAGATAACTGTATCATGAGGTTGTAGAGTCAAGCCTTAGTGTTCAAAATTGCAGTTGTTATGGTTGTTCATAGGATTGCTATTTGAGATTATAGGAAACTCATTCCAGATTATTTTCTTCCTTTTGGTACTTTTAAAATTTAAAAGTCTGAGGGATGTCTTCACTGAGTCCTAGATAGATATATGTGTTAGAGTTGTAGAAGTTTAGTATATCACTGGTCCCATAAATTCTAGGCTTCAGGAAGTTGTTGCTCAAAACACTCCAGAGGTGATTTTGTTTATGGCTTCTCTCAGGAGTTTTCTGCAGGATTTAGCAACTTTTACTCTCAGCAAAATCATAATACTTCTTTCTCAATAGATTGTAGCTTCCTTTAAAAACTGTAATCCTAGTCTTAGGACAGATTAGCTCCCCTACACCATTTCAAAGATCTATGCATCCTGTGGGTGCTTGATACATTTTTTTGTCTGATTGATAATGTTATGGATGATAAAGCAAGCTTTAAAGTCAATATGCAAATAAATCATGAGTAAGAAATTAAATGAGCTTTAAAAATAGGATGCACTAGCTTCAGCATAAAGCATTATCTTTGATGGAAACCTACTGCAGAAGTGGCCCCACCACCACTTTTAGTTCATTTGTTCACAGGTATTTGCCAAGAACCTGTATTTTCTTTTTTCTTTTAGATGACAGTGCTGGAGTTTTTAAGCAGTGCTGAAAAAAAAGTACACAAATTTTACAAGCAAACTAACATAAGGAATGCAAGCAGATTCTTCATATCAGTTACTCATTGATTTTAGTTTTTTCTATATTTGTTATAAGCCTTAGATTGTTTTACTCTGAATCAATTGAAAGCACCTCAGCTAGCCATTTATAATTCCCATGGAAGTCAATTGTAGCTACACACATATGATTGCAATTTGTTCTGCATAGCTCTTTAATAAATTCATTTGATAATGATTTTGTTTAGAATATCAGAAGTCTTGTGTTCTCACTGCCCTCAAGATGCTTGGAGGAACACAAGCCCATAAAATTAAGGAGTCTTCTCTTAAATGGATCTGAATTCACTTAAGTGCTGAGTTCTAACTTTCAAAATAACTGACAATGGTCTTCTGCTTTCTCCTACAAATTTAGGGGTGTGACTCACCAAGCCATTTCTTTTCCTTTAATGAGAAATACAATTCAGGATCTCCATAAATGCTTTCATATGGTTTAATTTAATAACTTGGACTGTAGGCAGTGTTGAAAAAAATCTGAGAAGCTTTGTTTGTTTTTTGAGACAGGTTCTTGCTCTGTTGCCCAGGCTAGAGTGCAGTGGCATCATCATAGCTCACTGCAACCTCAAAACTCCTGGGCTCAAGCAATCTTCCTGCATCATGCTTCCGAGTAGCTGGGACTACAGGTGCATGCCACCATGCCTGGTGAATTTTTTTTTATCTTTTATCGAGACAGGGTCTAGCTATGTTTCCCAGGCTTGTTTCAAACTCCTGGCCTTAAGGAGTCCTCCTGCTTCAGCCTCACAAAGTGCTAGGATTATAGGCATGAGCCAGTTGCATTGTTTTATAGTATTAAATTCAGAATGACTGGAAAATCAGCAATTTTATGACACTATCCTTGAGTCTGGAAAACATTTTTCATTTTCAAATTCATACATCATTCAAGAGTCCATATTGTAAATGGCATTTAAAAGCAAGTGTATTACCTGCTTCAGATCATTTGTGGATATAGGCAAGACATAATTCTCTATGTGTTTGCATATATTTTCTGTAATGTAGGCTTACTATATTACACAGTTCTATACAATAGACTTATTTTAAAAAATAAGTCTGTGACAAACTGTATATCACTACTATAGACAAGGAAAATGGTGTCATGGAATTAAATATCTTGGTCATGAGAAGAAACTCAGAGTTCATGACCAGAAACATGTACTGTATTCAAATTTTAATAAGCTAATGTATAATATTAACTTTTAAAGTTTTAAAAAGGTTTTGTCCAGACATGGAATAAATTTATGTATTGTTTGTGTGCTATACATATAGAGGCAATGTATATTTGTCATGTATCAAAATGGTCTTAGTTTATCTGTAATTATATTTCTAATAATAAAACTTACCAAGGCAGTCATTTTTATTTAATGAGCTCAATTCTCAAGCCTGACACCTATATTAATTCCCAAAAAGTTTGGGAAATTATGCTTGTTATGCTAAGGAATTTGTTGAAGAAAATCAAGTCACCAGCTAGGATACAAGATATAACTTTCTGTCTCCTCTGCCTCTTGGAGGAAGCATCAAGCAGGGCCTAAGAGCAATTTCCATCACAATGTTTTATTTATTGTCCAGTAAACTTACACCGTAGAACTCAATAACCCAAGTCACTTCCTTTCGCTCTCATTCATTATTAACCATGACAGAATGCCTGTCCCTTACTAGAGGATCACTTAAACCAGATGCCAGGAAGGCCTGCAGGCTTCTCGGAAATAAGATTCAGTTACTAGGACCACACTTTCCTAACTGTGTGTCCTCTCAGTTATTGGCAACCCCGCCGGCTTCAATGAAGTCTTTCCACTTGGAGGAGAGAGCAGCTCAGTTCTCTAATTGCCAAAGTTCCTAAACTTTGTGCCTTGCAGAGTTTAAATCACACGGTTGGATCACTGGGGTGGCATAAATGCCTGGATTCTGGAATCAGGGTTGAGAGGGAGCAGTAAATTGACAGCTGTGGTTTTTCTTGTAAACTCCTAGGGGGGCTGAGGAAGTGGAGGTCCCGTCACATGGACTCTGAATGTTCCATTGCTGTTACTGGATGGTGCAGGGCCCAATGCAATGAGACCGAATCTTTAAACAAACATCTGACACGTCTACATGTTTAGTGCCTTTGAAGTCCTGTACAAATACTTGAGGGCTGAGAGATGAACTTTGAAACCAGCAGTCTTGGGTGCGGATCCAGCTGTGTCACATGTCAGCACGTAGCTCAACTTCTCTAAGCTCTCCCCCCATGTGTAAATAAGGGGATATTTATACCCACTTCACATAAAGCAGCTGTGAAAATGCCTACCTCAGTGCCTGGCACATAGTAGGTACTCAGTAAATTGTCTTCATTTCTTTTTTTTTTTTTGAGACAGTCTCACTTTGTTGCCCAAGCTAGAGTGAGTGCCGTGGCGTCAGCCTAGCTCACAGCAACCTCAATCTCCTGGGCTCAAGCAATCCTGCTGCCTCAGCCTCCCGAGTAGCTGGGACTACAGGCATGCGCCACCATGCCCGGCTGATATTATATATATTAGTTGGCCAATTAATTTCTTTCTATTTTTATGGTAGAGACGGGGTCTCGCTCAGGCTGGTTTTGATCTCCTGACCTTGAGCAATCCGCCCGCCTCGGCCTCCCAGAGTGCTAGGATTACAGGCGTGAGCCACCGCGCCCGGCAATTTCTTTCTATTTATAGTAGAGACAGGGTCTCGCTCTTGCTCAGGCTGGTTTCGAACTCCTGACCTTGAGCAATCCGCCTGCCTTGGCTTCCCAGAGTGCTAGGATTAGAGGCGTGAGCCACCGTGCCCGGCCGTCTTCATTTCTTAATTACCTTGGTATTGTTAAGTGCCTTATTAAGTTATTGGAAAAATGAGAATCTGATAGACGGGAGGAACCAGAAAAGTCAAAAGGGAAGGGTAAAGGGCCAAAGGCAAAGCTAACAGCTTTCGGCTCTCCAAGGAGCTTGCCTTTAAATGTTTCAGGTATTTGAGCTTGGAACTGGCCCACAAGAACACCAGTGCTCAAAGAGGGTTCCAGTTTCTCCTGGGGAAGTCAGTCCTCTAAACTCCAACTAGAGGTGAGATTTTTGTCTTTCAGTCTGAACTATACTAAGCTTGTTCTGGAATGGCTTCTGCAGCATTTAGAAATATGTTTTAAATGATACATAGGAAACTGAAGCAAAAGAACATTCTGGCAAACAACCCCCATGCTGAATTTAACCGGGTAGTTTAATCCGCAAACAGAAATTTAATAGTTAAGAATGGCAAAGCTACATAAACTGATAATGGTTTAGAAAAACTGGTGGAAACAACTCACTTTCCCAGGTTTCATCCATTCAAAGCCAACTTGATTGTTTAACCTCCCAAGCACCAGGCCTCACCTATGATATTTATACTCCTCTGATTTTAACCCTGGGAACATTCCTCTTTCTCAATGTCAGGATGTGTGACAGTCCCTTGAAGACCTAAAGATTAGGCTATTAGGGTGAAGGAAATCCCTAGGATACTTCAAAGAACATTTTTCCAATAATAGTCATAATATTAATCTCTCATAGGAGTGAAGGAGAGGATGGGCACCCACCAGGACACTGACACAGAGGTTCTTGACCTGAAGCCATGGATGAATTTTTTTATTCATAACTCCCTGACTTCCCAAATGATACACAAAATGTGTATATATATATAATATATATATTTTTTTTTTTTTTTTTTTTTGAGACAGAGTCTCACTCTGTTGCCTGGGCTAGAGTGCTGTGACGTCAGCCTAGCTCACAGCAGCCTCAAACTCCTGGGCTCAAGCAATCCTGCCTCAGCCTCCCAAGTAGCTGGGACTACAGGCATGTGCCAAGACACCTGGCTAATTTTTCTATTTTTAGTAGGAACAGGGTCTCACTCTTGCTCAGGTTGGTCTCGAACTCCTGAGCTCAAAGGATCCTCCCACCTCAGCCTCCCAGAGTGCTAAGATGACAGGCGTGAGCCACCGTGCCTGGTATTTTTTTTTTTTTTGAGACAGAGTCTCACTTTCTTGCCTAGGCTAGAGTGAGTGCCGTGGTGTCAGCCTAGCTCACAGCAACCTCAAACTCCTGGGCTCAAGCGATCCTCTTGCCTCATCCTCCCGAGTAGCTGGGACTACAGGCATGCGCCACCATGCCCGGCTGATTTTTTTTTTATATTATATACATTAGTTGGCCAATTAATTTCTTTCTATTTTTATGGTAGAGACGGGTCTCGCTCAGGCTGGTTTTGAACTCCTGACCTTGAGCAATCCGCCCGCCTCGGCCTCCCAGAGTGCTAGGATTACAGGCGTGAGCCACCTCGCCCGGCCGTGCCTGGTATTTTTATGTGAAGAGAAATTGTAGCTTTCATCAACCACTCAAAAGACTCCAGTGATTCAGGAAAGGTTAAGAACCACAGAGCTAGAAAGACCAGTGCCAAGCACCAATGCCCCAATCCGTATTTTATAAATCAAAGCTCCACTACCACCACCACCACCACCGCCACAGCTCACCCTCTCCCAAGCACCCTGACCCAGACCCAGATGACACAAGGTCCCGATACCAGCCCTCAGGTCACTTCCTGAATAACCAATGGCTTGAAAAAAAAATCTTTAATGGAATCTGTGCTCAAATAATATGTTACAACAAAAATATACAGAATGTACACAATACAAAAATATTTAGAAACAAACATTGCAGTTTGTGTGTTTCGTTCCACTTACTCAAGTCCTCGGAGGGGCAGTTCACTGTGGGGCACCGTTTTTAAGGCAGAGAGCTGGTGCTTTCCAGCCAGCACTGGGCGCAACATGAATGATGCCAGGAAAGAGCTTCCGCCACGCCCAGGAATCTGCATTGTGCATTTGCAAATTAAATCGGACACCGGGGGAGGATCCTGGCTTGGTGAGTGATGGCTCCCCTAATCCTCTGGGCAAGAATGGTTCTCATGGAAATTGAGAGTCCTATTAGCTGGCAAAAGAGCCTCATTAGGGAGCTTTTCCTAATTAAAAAACGAATGATGAATGGCGTCATTAAAGCGAAATCTCTCCTTTGAAGCTTTGTTTTCCCTTCCCTGGTTTCCGTGATTCCTCTCCCGGCCACAGCGAGGGAGTCTATCTGTGGCTGCTGCTTGGGGATTCCCTAGCTGTCATTTGCCGGTCCTGTGGATGAAAGGCCAGGCCTGCTCCCACCAGCGTGGAAAGTCACACCAGCCTCCTTGCAGCACCTGGGACAAGGAGGGACGGAGGGAGGGAGGACGAGGCCAGCCTTGGGGGTGGTAGGACCCGCTGAAGAGCAAGGCAGTCGCCAAAAGTAAACCCTGCTGACCAGAGGGCTGCCTCCTGGCCCTGGCTAGAGGCCTGGGTCGTGTGATGTGACTCTGTTGTCCCCGCTCTGTGGGCCTGGTTGGAGGTGATGGTTGGGAGAGGGCGGTGGGTGTGCAGCTGGGGCTGGTGGCCTGAGGAGTAGCTGAGGCTCCCTCCTGTCCCAGATCTGCAAGGACTGACTTAACAGGGTGGGGCACATGATACTGCCTCCTCGGTAACAACCTTCCATCCAAAGCCCTGAGGGAACTGGGTGCTTCTCTGAGGGCTTTCTGGAGTCTTCTAGTTCATTGCCTTCTCACTCCTGACTGTGGAAGACCCCTCTCTAGGCCACGCCAGACAAAGACAGGGGTGGCACTCTGCTCGCTTCCCTCACATCCCAGAGACCCCAGATGCCGGGACAGGAACCTGGACGGGATTCCCTGCCCCTCTGGGAAGGGACGGTTCCGCTCAGGCTTAGCCGGGGCTGCAGCCCATGCTAGAGGCAGCCAAGTCCTGGCCCCTTCCCCAGCCCCACCCAAATCTTCTCAGCCCCCAGCTCCACAGCCCCAGAGCTTCTCTCCTGAGAAGCTGACTCTCATCTACACCTTTCTCTCATTACAGCAGAGAACAGCAGGCAGGGCAGACAAGATGTCCCAGGCTGACGCAGCTCCGCCAAAGATCTGGGCCCAGGCTGTCCCGGCCTGGCAGTTCCCGGCATAGCTTTGGCACAAAGGTAGCATGACCCTAGGAACCATATATGGAGACCAGGACAATCCATTTAGCATCAGGCAAAGATGGGGAAGGGCTTGGCACAGACTGCAAGTGAGTGGGTGTGTCCCTGGGTGGGAAGACCCTGCGCATTTGCACGTAATCACTGGGACAGGAAGCCACAGTGGCCCAAGAGCCCCAGATGCCTGGCCCGGCTGACTCTGGGCCTCGGCATACTCAGGGGCCTGGGAAGGCATAAAGCTGGTGGGGACAGTCCCATACTTCTGCTCTTGTTCCTGCACAGACCCAGCCCTCTGCCTCCCAGGCCCGGGGTTCTTTGTCCTTCTGGACTACCAGTGGCTGGGAGTCCCATAAGCAGTGAAAAGGGGCGATATATTTTGTCAAAGGTCATCCTCCTCCCTCCCTCCATGAGGAGCCTACACCACCTCCTGCTAGGGGGTCATTCCTGCGACTTCGTATTCCCACCTGTGAAACGGGTGAGGGTGGACTTGACAGTCCCTGAGTTCCCTCCCACATCTAAGCCTCCAAGTCTACTACTGGCTGCTGCCACCTCTGGCCATCATGCACGCACCCAGCAATTCCTCTCCAGAAGCAGAGTTTCCTGTCTAAATTGGAATTCCTCTTACTGCAGCCTCCTGTCCCCCCAACTCAAATGGACACAAGGCCTCGATATTCCTGCCCCAGCCTCTCTTGCATCCCCAAGGCTCCTCCTCTCCTAAGGAAGACAGGATAGAACCTTTTCAGACACGGAGGCCATCCCAGAGGGGAGCAAGAGCAGACCCTGGCAAAGGCGAAGAAAACATCAGCATCCCAAGGGTTCCTGGAAGGGCCCGAGATTTCCCTCCAGCAGACAAGTCTCTGCTAGTCAGCAATGCTCAGGGAGGTGCCTGGGGAGGACAGGAGACGGGAAAGGGGGCAAGCTTTGCAAAAAGCAAGGATACTCGGCACCACAGAACGCCGCACCCTACCACCGCTCAGCACCTTCTCTCCTCTCAGGGACACTCTGCCACCTCAAGCCCCCTGCACAGGCTCCCACTGGCCTCACATTGTCTTTCCCATCTCACATACACGCATGCACACACACACACACACACACACAACCAAAGGAGAGGCACAAAGTAGGGCCAGGGCAGCAGAAGGAAAGAAGACGACCCTAAAAGCAAGGCAGAGCACCGAGGCTGGGCACTGGTTTGAGATGTCAACATTCTGGAGGAAAAGGAGGGAGCAGTCTAAGGTTGGGGCTGGGTCTTTCCCAGGGTGGGACTTGGGGTGAACCCCATCCCTCCTGTTTGGGTCCCTCTCACTGGGCACCCCCAGGACAAGAGTGGGGCGTGGCGCCTGCAGCACCTCCCTGCTCTGCCCAGCCCAGGCACTAGAGGCCATGCCCCAGTGCCCACCGACAGGCCCAGGAGGGCGGCACTGGGTCTCAGCCAGTGCGAAGCGAACACGTCCGCCACAGGCCCCTTCTCACCTGAGCTCCAGACCCAGCAGCTGTAGAGGGGATGCTGCCTGGCCTGCCGTCATCTCTGGGCTGGAGAAAGGCCTGCCTGGCTACGACAACCCGCGGGCCTTCCTACGTGGCTTAGGGTCTCTCGGGGTCGCGAGTGAGGAGGAGAAGGCCGCTGCTCAATCTGTGGCAGCAGAAGGGGTCCCTGGCCACATGGAATGAGCCCGGCCGAGGGGGAAGGCCACTGTCACTCCACTCCAGGCTTTCACTCTGGCCCAATGTCACTGGAACAGCCTAGAAAAACGATGGCAGCCACATCCAACTCCTCCACCAGATGCCTTTCAGGAAGGAGTTCACTGTCTGTCCGAAAACGAAATCATCACAGCAGCCCCGCTGTTCTGCCCCCGCTGCCTGTCCTCACAGAGCTGGTGATGATGAAAAGCACACAGGTACGCCCCGTGGATGCTGCGTCTCCCTCCCCTCCCCCACCCGGGGCCACCAGCCCTCACGGGGGAGGTGGCAGCTTCAGGTCCAGCAGGGTGTAGGCAAAGATGTTCCAGAAGATGGCGAACAGCACGAAGACAGTGTACATGGCCACGAAGATCCACCACAGCGACTGGTCCTGCAGCCTCTGCTCGTAGTTCCTCAGGACCACCACGCCCAGGGTGATGCCCACCGCCACGCCGCCCAGGTGCGCCACGAAGCTGGGGTGAGGGCACGGGGGGTACGCGGACGGGTGGAAGCGGAGCCACACGGCGCGCCCGAACTCCATGCTCACTGCGAGGGGAGGAAGCGGACACATGTCACAGGAGGCCCTGGGAGGGGACGCGGAGAGGCCTGTACTCCACCCGCCCCCTAGCCACCCTTCCCTGCACTGGGGACACAGCCGCAAAGGGGACAGTCAAACCTCTGCTCTGCTGGAGCTTACGGGGTCTGGCAATGGGAAACAGTTTCGGGAAGAGACACATCTGCGGGGCAGCGATAGGTGATGTAGCACCAATGCCAGCAAGAGGAGGGGGGAGTCTTTAGCTGGGGGAGTCAGGCAAGACCTCCCTAAACAGGTGACATCTGAGCTGAGTCTGAATATTGAGAGGGACCTTACTGAAAAAATACTGCGAGAAGAGCGTTCCAGGCAGAGGGGACAGCTCGTGCAGAAGCCCAGAGGCCATTGCACACACATCTGTGAGCCCTGGAGGCTCAGTTTCCCCATCTTCCCATCTGTATAAAGTCTCGGCCTCTATGTACCAGGCTACACTAGTAAAACATCAATGGCAACTTATCCCCGTTTTACACATGAGGAAACCAAGGCAAATTTGACAGGCTGAAGAAAAGCCCATTGAGAGGAACCTGTGCATCTGCTCAGCTACTACGGAATTGGCCAGCGCACCCCTGTCCACCCTGACCGCTGTGGGGCTGCGGGAGACCCCAGAGACCTTCATCCCCCTGGGGATTGCCCAGCCTTCAGGACCGGACCCTGCGACTCCAAGCATGGCCGATAGGTGGCAGAAAAGCAGCAGCCGGGGACGGCCACTGCCCTCCCCACCCGGCCTGTGCTCAGCGGGCCCTGGGTCAGATGAGGGAGGCTAGAAAGACAATGGTCTCCACCCCCAAAACAGCACTTTTGTTTTTAGGATGCTTAGAGTTGGATTCTTTTTTTCTTTATTTCTTTATTTTTTTTAGTAACTAGGCAGTTATAACAGTTGGATTTTTTTCTTTTTTTTTTTTGAGACAGAGTCTTACTCTGTTGCCCAGGCTAGAGTGAGTGCCGTGGCATCAGCCTAGCTCACAGCAACCTCAAACTCCTGGGCTCAAGTGATTCTCCTGCCTCAGCCTCCCAGTTTGCTGGAACTATAGGCACATGCCACCATGCCCGGCTAATTTTTTCTCTACATTTTAGTTGGCCAATTCATTTTCTTCCTATTTTTACTAGAGACGGGGTCTTGCTCTTGCTCAGGCTGGTCTCCCAACTCCTGACCTTGAGTGATCCTCCCGCCTCAGCCTCCCAGAGTGCTGGGATTACAGGCGTGAGCCACTGCACCCAGCAAGAATTGGATTTTTTTTGAAACAGCAGGACTCATGCTTCTCTTTTCTTCTTCAAAAGCAGACAAACTCAGAGTCCAAGTAGACACAGAAGCTATGCTCACCCCACTCCCATGCCACTGGGCCCTACTGTCCTGACTCAAGGGGTCCTCGGGTTTAAGGCAGAAAGGTCCTTTCTGGGATTAGAGAGCCTCCATCCCCATACAGGAAACTGCAAAGTGCCCCAGGGCGGGTCAGGGGCAAACCTGATTTCCTGAGAACCACAGAGTGACAGGCCAGCGACACGGAAGTGAGTGACAGTGAAGCCCTCACTGGCCTGCCCCTCCATCCCGTGTCCATCCCATGTGTCCATCCCACGTGTGCTCTGCTCCGTCTCCCGCGTACCGACACTGCAGGTGGCGGGCCCAGGCAGAGAAAGCCAAGGTGCTAGAAATGGCGCAGGCTGGCTCTGAGTCCCTGCTCTGCCATCTCTTAGCTGGGTGACCTTGGGCACCGGAACGTAACTCTCTGAGCCTTGAGTTTCTACCTGCAAATTAAGCCTAATTATACCTTTTGTAGCGTGTTTGGAGGACTGAACGAGAGACTGCGAGTTCCCTCTGCGAGTTCCCTCTTCCCACCTCCATTGCTTCTGTTCACACTCATCTCTTTCCATCTCAGAATGAGCCCTTAGGCCTCTGGTCTCTCCCCCGCCACCCCCGGTCCCTGACCCCTGACCCCTGGCCATTCTCCACACCGTAGCCTGGCTGGTTTTCTAAAACTCTGGTTATCTGTCAATAACTCTTCTTGTTGAAAGCCCTCCAGTGGCCTCTCAGGGCATTCAGGGTGAAGCATATATTTTTTCTTAGCATTTAAAGCCCTTAATGATCTGACTCCTTTATCTCTGTCCACAAATCACAATCACATACAATCCCACACCTCACTCCTAAATTTTATGAACCAACTTGCTGGCCATGACCCTTCACCCACCTGCGTCTTTGTTCACGCAGCACTTTTGCCCCAAATGCCCTCTTGCACCTTGCCTACCTGGTGACCATCTGCTTGTCTCTAGCACTCAACATGACCTCTGCAGGTAGAGCTGACCTCTCACAACCAGGGCTCTGACCAGATCCTGCTCCTAGGGCTTCCTGGATCAGTTACTGTTTATGAACCTGCTAAAATTGCACGTGTTGATACTTGTGCATGCGGGCGTGCGTATATGTGTTTTTCTGGGGACAAGGTCTCTGAAATTCAACAGGGGATCTCAAAGGATCAACTCCCTGACCTAAAAGGTTAAGAAGTTATTTTTCTTTATCTCAGTGCTGGTCATCAGGCACTTTGAGGAAGCAGCATGGTGGGACAGACGTCTCACACGTTATCAACATGTCCCACTTTTTTTTTCTTGATCATAGCCCCTGAAGGGCAGGGACTGTGCCATCTTTGTACCCCAGGGCCTGGTGCCAGGCCTTCTTCCCCCAGCCTGCCCCTTGCATACTTACTGCAGATCAAGGCCACAGCCATCCGCAGCAGTTTGAACTGGCACTTCATCCCCGACCAGTTCTAGGGAAAAGGAGAGAGTTCCGTTAGTTCCAGCTGAGATCAACTCCTCTGCGGGCGTATCTTGCTTAAGAAAACCTGACATTTAAAAAAAATAATCTCCATGAGGTCCTGAATGGGGAGGGGGTTGTGGCTTAGTAGCAGAACACACCAATGTAACTTTGAGATTTTAGGGAATGGTTTGTTTATTTCTGTCGTGAGATCTCTTGAGCTGCGCTAACAGAGGAAGAGAATCGAGATCTAGGGAGGTATCTGTCCTTGGTACGAACAGCAAACACCTGACAGGTGCATTAATTGCTGGATCCCATGGTTGCAAAGGGATACAGGATACCAAACCAAGCAAAGTCAAAAGCAGAACCATCAGGATGATAGGAGAACTCTAAATCCTGTGGATGAGGATCAAATGAGGAAACCAGCATCTTTTAGCCTAAAGAAGAGAAGACTCGGGGGTCAAGTTCATTGTTGTCAAATATCAAATGAGTTAATACAAGAAAAGGGCATTCAATTCAGTGTAACCTGCAAACAGAAGACTCAATGGATAAAAACTTCAGGGAGAGACGTTTTTTTTTTAAGCTCAGGGTAAGTTTCCATTCCTAATAAGCAGAGCTGTCCAGAGATGGAATGATCCACCCTGGGGGGCCATGAGCTTCCCACCACTAAGTTTCACACAGGGACTTCGCACCACTCACAGAGGGTACTCTAGAGGAGAACTGGGCATCGGGCAGGGGGTGGGCCAGATGGCCTTGAAATGACTCCCTCTCTCCCCTGAGAAGCTCGGAACCTCCAAAGCAGATAAACAGTACAATTATTCACCTTACAAAAGGATTTTTCAGTTTACAAAAGACTTCGCTACAGGGTTCTTTTGAGAGGCACTCCTGCAGTGCATTCAAAGCACTATTCCATTTAGAGAGAGAGAGAGAGAGAGAAATGAGGCTGGAATCTTCCTGGAACACATCAGCCCCAGGGAAGGAGTGTGCGGGGCACAGCCAGGGGACTTCTGTTCCCTCCCAACCGCCCAATCTGCCTTTGCCTCCTGGCCCGGGCCCAGCTCCAGGGCACCGTCTCGCACTTCTTTGAGGTTGTGGGAACATAGTTAAACTCTACAGAGGCCGTGCACACTGGCACATACAATAACGTCTACTAAGGAAGCTTCCCTGGAGCAAGCAGGACACAGGGAAGCTGCCAAAATGAAGGAGAAAGCCCTGTGGCATTCTGTTTCTGGGCCCCCCCACCTCCTTTCTCTATTATTCCTCACTGACCGGCAACCCCTACTTCACAGACGGTGAGGTGGGTAACCCGCGGCCCCTCTTTAGGGAGACAGCATGCTGACACGTTTCATGCTAAGAAGCAGATGGCAGGACAACGATGTCATCTGCTGGTGTCCGTCCACAGAGGAGCCTTGCCAGGGGGCTAGGAACAAAATGAGAGTTGGCGCCCTCCACTGGGGCGTGCTGGGCGGCCCCTCTGCTCCTCTCCAGGCCCAAACCCTAGCATGGGAGGAACCCTGAGAATCACCTGATAGGCTGTTTCTTGCCAAAGGGGCACACTCACTGCCAAGTAGCCAACAAGATGTCCCTCCAGCCGCTGAGATGGGGAGCTCACTACCCACTGGGGCAGCCCTGGGAAGGAGTCTCACCTGTAGGTTACATTGAAAAGTTCTTCCTGCTGGGTGTACCTTGTAATGTCCATGGATCATAATTCATCCTTTTTTTTTTTTTTGAGACAGAGTCTCGCTTTGTTGCCCAGGCTAGAATGAGTGCCATGGCATCAGCCTAGCTCACAGCAACCTCAAACTTCTGAGCTCAAGCAATCCTGCTGCCTCAGCTTCCCGAGTAGCTGGGACTACAGGCAAGCGCCACCATGCCTGGCTAATTTTTTCTATATATATCAGTTGGCCAATTAGTTTTTTTCTATTTATAGTAGAGACGGGATCTGGCTCTTGCTCAGGCTGGTTTCGAACTCCTGACCTCGAGCAATCCACCCGCCTCCGCCTCTCAGAGTGCTAGGATTACAGGCGTGAGCCACCGTGCCCGGCCTCATAATTCATCCTTAAAAGTGACACTCACGTTCACAGCAGCAGTGTTCACAATAGCCGAAAGGTAGACGCAACCTAAGTGTCTATCAACAAATGAATAACAATAAACAACATGTGATATGTACAAACACTAGAAAGCTATTCTATTCTGCCTTAAAAAGGAAGGAAATTCGGACACATGCTACGACATGGGTAAACATTGAGGACATGATGCTAAGTCACTCACAGAAATATAAATACTATGTGATTCCACTTATATGAGCAACCTAAAGTAGTTATTAATACATGCAGGAGATAGAAAGTAGAAGGGTGGTTGCCAGGGGCTGGGGGAAGGAGGGAATGGGGAGTTATTGTTTAGAGGGTTCAGAGTTCCAGTTTCACAAGATGGAAAAGATTCTGGAGGTGGGTGGTGGTTAATGGCTGCACAACAGTGTGAATGTTCTTGATACCAACAAACGATACGCTTAAAATGGTTAAGGTGGCGAATTTTATGTTAGGTGCATTTAGCACAATACAGACAAAAGTGATAGAGAACACTTCTAATATCCTTTTTCCCCATTAAAACCCTCTGGCCATCTTATCTGAGGATACGTCTCTTTCACTGTATTCTAGTGATAACGTCAGGCAGAGTGGGTTTGAACCTAAGGACCACTGTCTCCTTTAGCTGAGCTCCCTGCAGTCCCTCAGGGCCCTGCTGGGCCCCATCTTAGAAAGCACCACCTGTATTTTTGGTCTGGGCCGGCCATCGGTGGGGTGGCACAGAATTCCTTTTTCTCTAGTGTCCTCATTTGTGAATTTGAGACAACAGTACCTACCTCAATCACCCATGTCATCAGGTGGCTGTGAGGATGAAATGAATAAGCATGTGTAAAGCACTAAGAACACCTCCCAGCATATAGCAAGCATCACATAAGTGTCTGATATTAGCATCCAGACCCGAGGCAAAGGTGGTGAGTTTGTCCTGCAGAGTGGCTTTAAAAATTCTGAATCTGGGCCGGGCGGCGGTGGCTCACGCCTGTAATCCTAGCACTCTGGGAGGCCGAGGCGGGCGGATTGCTCGAGGTCAGGAGTTCGAAACCAGCCTGAGCAAGAGCGAGACCCCGTCTCTACTATAAATAAAAAAGAAATTAATTGGCCAACTAATATACATAGAAAAAATTAGCTGGGCATGGTGGCGCATGCCTGTAGTCCCAGCTACTCGGGAGGCTGAGGCAGGAGGGATCACTTGAGCCCAGGAGTTTGAGGTTGCTGTGAGCTATGCTGACGCCACGGCACTCACTCTAGCCTGGGCAACAAAGTGAGACTCTGTCTCAAAAAAAAAAAAAAATTCTGAATCTGGGCCAAGTGTGGTGGCTCACACCTGTAATCCCAGCACTCTGGGAGGCCGAGGTGAGAGGATCGTTCGAGGTCAGGAGTTCAAAACCAGCCTGAGCAAGAGCGAGACCCCGTCTCTACTAAAAGTAGAAAGAAATTTGCTGGACAAATGAAAATATATAGAAAAAAAATCAGCTGGGCATGGTGGCGCATGCCTGTAGTCCCAGCTACTCAGGAGGCTGAAGCAGAAGGATTGCCTGAGCCCAGGAGTCTGAGGTTGCTGTGAGCTAGGCTGACGCCACGGCACTCTAGCCCGGGCAACAGAGTGAGACTCTGTCTCAAATAAATAAATAAATACATAAAAATTCTGAATCTGAATGACCTTGGCCAGAGCCGGGGTGCTCCAGTCTTGCCATGGCATTTCCCAGGCCAGCTTCATGAGTTTATGACACCTGCCTGGCCCCTGAGTTTGCCAGGCAGATCCAGTCTAACCCTCTGCACCGCACTTTAGGGAAGGAGACCAGGAGGTCTAGTTCAAGGTCACAGTGAGTGAGCTGCAGGCAGACGGGGTTCCTAGTCCAGGGCTCTGTCCACGCACACTTCAGAGGCCGGTCACATTCCGTCTGCCGGTGCTATCTGCCCCGGACGCCCACGAAGCTCAGCAACCAGCAGTAAATAACACGCCTCCCAACAGCTGAGGGGTTAATATGCAAAGTCACCCCTTCCCACCGGCTGCCTTATTTTCAAGACCCATTATTCCCCCCATAACACGGCTGCGCTGAAACAACAGGAGAGAAGAAAACATCGCACACACAGCCAGCACGGCTGCGGCTATAAATGCTGAAAAGCCCTTGGGCCCCTGGGAATAAAAACCTTTCTGCGGGCCCTTTGATTTCATTCTCTCCCAGAGCCTTGCAGGGTGAGCTAAGAACTCACCCACAGCAAACAAGTTGGTCATCAGTCCCCTCCGCATCTTCCTCACCTTCCTCACCCCCTACCCCCTACCCCCCCCCCCCCCCCCCCCCCCCCCCCCCCCCCCCCCCCCCCCCCCCCCCCCCCCCCCGCCCCCAGGTAAGAGCTCGGAGGCTGAAACCCAGGCAGGCAGCTTCCATTCCAATATAGCTGTATATATCCCTGGTACAAACAGTTTCCTGTCAAATGGCTTCAAGAAAACCCAACACAGGAAACGTGAAAGCCTGACACAGATAAATTAGGGAGTGATTATTTGTCCTACAAAAGGACTTTTACTTATTAAAGTCAACCTTCGAACAGAAATCTTTTGCGTCTTTTAGATAACAATCTTGCCGTGTGCTTTGGTGATATGGTTCAATTTGTGAAGATTCAGATCTCAAACCTTGGGGAAATATCTATCATACAGAGCAAAATGTAAGTAAATATCTCATATATTTAAAAATGGAACTCTGGCCTATGAAGCCCTCAGGAGGCAATTAATAGATTATTCAATTAGGTGTATCCTTTATACTGCTAGTGTTTAAAATAGGAAGTCTTGATGGCAGGTCTTTTTGCATTCCAGATCTTTCGTTGAAATATTTTCTGAACTTAATTCCTTGGTGTACATAAACTGGAAGCTTTTTGAAATTCAATGTGTTTCTATAAAAAATAAGACATACTTTCATTGAAGGCAGAATCTCTCATTTAAACAGTCCTGAGAGCAGAGTGTTAAACACTTTTCTATGATGTATGCAAAAGGAACACATTTTCTCTGCATTGTTCTCTGCATAGATATCAGGCAGAATCTATAAAGAGAAAAAATTACATATACTAATATTTATAAACCCACCCACGTACATATGTACACATAGTGCCTCACAGCTGTATGGTGATTTGCCATATGGAAATGGAGATCATGTCCATTTTTTCATGTCTTCCTAACAACTACCTTGTGAAATGGGATTACAGATGAGACAACTGAGGCCCTAAGCAGTTAAGGGAAACAGATCTATGCCATTAAGACGGTGACACTGGTATCCAAATGCAGATTTTCTGACTGTGAAGTCCATGCCTTTTCTGCTTTTTGTTCTGATGCTTTATTGTACACACACACACACACACACAGACCAAATCTTCACTTTGTAATTGAAAACAATGTAGGCTGAACCATATGAAATTGCCAATAGTTAAATATTCACAGCCCACAGAAACGGCGATTTCATATGGGTTGACTCAATGCATCTCTGAATTACTCGGCACTGAGCTAATTTGGGTAAAAGCGGCCTCTTGACGAGGGGAAACTGATCTTTCTAGTGAGAATATGAGTTTTCTTTCACTGTCCATAAGCACCACACAACTTTCTAGAGAAGGACTACCTGCCCGTCATGCTCCAGGGACTGCAGAGTTCCCGGTTGGGCAGGGAAAGCCATTTGGAACGGGGAAGGCACCAGGCGATCAGATGGGGCTGCTCACTGCCGCCCCCACAGGCCACAGGCTACTGGCCAGTAGAAGCCCAAACTGCCTTCACACCTCCCTGTCCTCACATGCCCTAGCCCGGGGTCCCTGGGTGGGGTGGGCAGCCCTCACCGGAGCTGTGGGCATTGGGGCTGTCTCCATGCATCGTATGAACTCGTGTTGTTGCTTCTTCCCCACGTTCCTTTTCACTTGCCCTTGTTCATCACCACACACACACACACACACACACACATACACACACACACATCTTGGGCAGATCAACGGGAGGGAGGGAGGAGGTTAGCCTCTCCTTCCCCTACTGAAAGGAATTGGGGCAGGGGGAGGGGGGAGTGGAGCGGGCAGAATTCGGAGGAAAAGCTGTGTCTGGGGAAAGATGTGGCACTGATACAGAATGACCCATTTAAAAGGGCCATGGGAGGCAGCCCAAGCGCCTGGGTCCCCAGCAGACCGGGCCGTGCGTGTGAGTAAACACACACACCTGCACGCGCACACTCACCCTCACGCTGCCCTGTGTTTCCTGTCCCCGAAGTCCCTCTCTGAGCACTCACCTGAAGTTGCCCAAATTCAGGCCAGCAGCAAGTGTGGACAGGCATTCAGTGTCTGCCTCTCTCCCTCTCTCTCCCTCTCTGCCTCTGTGCTTGCTCTCAGGTGTGTATGTGGGAATTTGGTGAAAGGAAAAGGGACGAGGCTGGGAGTGGGGCAGGTGAGAGTGGGACCCACGAAGAAGAAAAACAGGGGAGAGTTTGAGAGCTGCAAAAACTGCAGTCACTGAGCGTTCACGCATCTGCAGCGTGGGCAGACGCAGTGACAAGGGAGGGGGGAGAACAACAGGACCCAGCAAGAAGCAACGCCTGCTCTGGACATTGTTCATGCCTTCCTTCCTGCCCTCCTTCCTTTCTTCACCAAAATTTAGTGGGCACCATCTACCATGTGCCCAGCCCTATGCCAAGTACTGGGGGAAAAGATGAGTACCAGGGAGATGGCTCCAGGCCAGCAGGGGCATCAGGCGGGGTTCGCCAGCGACTCCTTCAGCCTCCCAACTTCAGACTTCCTCCAAAATAAGGACTTTGACATCCTCTAAGACTATCAGATCCATCCCGATTTCTTGCCTTCAAGGCTTGGTCGGGTCTGAGCCCACCCTGGCCTCTTCTGTGCGGAATAGGGAATTAAGTTAACATTTGTATTAAGTGGTTACTTTCACTTTGTCTCATTTATTGCGTATCGTTCCATTTCGAAGACGTAGAAACTGAGGCACAAGGCAGTTAAGTAATTTGCCCAGGACCAATGTTTAGGAAGTGGGAAGCTGGGATTCAGATCTAGGCTGCCTGGCCCCGTGGCCAAGAAGAGAGAGAAACAGAGTGAGGTCCTACTACTGCGAGAGGCTGGTGCAGGGGAACACCACTGGAATGACTACCAGGAGATGTGGGTTCAAGTACTGATTTTGCCACAAACTTGAGTGCGACATCAGACAAATCACTGCACCTCTCTGAGCCTCCTCTCCTATTTGAGAATTTTCCTGAGATCACCTCTCTTAAGGCCCTTTTACTTTTTTTTTTTCTTCAATACAGCCCTTTTTAAAGCACAAGGTCCTTTTACTTTTAACGATCTATGACAAACAAGGAATTCCAATGACCACGCATGCCAGCAGTCAAGTTTTAACATTCTTTAAAGTTACCGAGGCCGCGGTGGCTCACGCCTGTAATCCTAGCACTCTGGGAGGCCAAGGCAGGAAGATCGCTCAAGGTCAGAAGTTTGAAACCAGCCTGAGCAAGAGCGAGACCCCGTCTCTACTAAAAATAGAAACAAATTAGCCAAACAACTAAAAACAGAAAAAATTAGCCGGGCATGGTGGCACATGCCTATAGTCCCAGCTACTCGGGAGGCTGAGGCAGGAGGATCGCTTGAGCCCAGGAGTTTGAGGTTGCTGTGAGCTAGGCTGACACCACGGCACTCACTCTAGCCTGGGCAACAAAGCGAGACTCTGTCTCAAAAAAAAAAAAAAAAAAATACCCAGGTCCAGCGACAGCAGAGGAGAGGGCAAGACAGACACGCGGGAAGACGAGTGCTCACCATGACGATGTTGGCCAGATGGGCAGACACCAGAGCGTACACCCCTCCAGAAGAGCCCACGACCGGCGCGGTCATGTCAGCCACAGACACCGCCAACGACCCTGGTACGGAGAGACAGCGAGATTTCTCAGGGATGCTGGACCCAGCCCCGGGCCTTGGGTTCCGCAGCCTCGGTGCTCAGACCCCAGAGCAAGGCGCTCCCTCTCTTCCTCCTTTGAGTCCACGTTGCCTTGGAGCTTCCCAGGCAATTTCAGACAGGATCCATGTATGGCCGAAAGAACCGTTTCATTCAACCTTCTTATTTTACAGATGGGAAACAAAAGACTCAAAGAAGGGAAGGGATTTGCCCCAAGTAGAACTCAGACTACGACCCGGAGCGCCTGCCTCTGTCTGACACTGTGCTCTCAGGATTCTAGAGCAATAACACAAACAGCAGCCGTGGTTGTCCCAGAAGCAGCTGCCACTTGGGGGGGCACCGTGTGTCAGGCTGGGTGACCCTTTTGCATCCATTCTTCCCTCCAACCCTCAAGACAGCCCTTCCTTCCAGGAAGATGCTTGCAGCTCACTGCAGAGATGAGGAAGCCGAGCCCAGAGTCCCCCGGTAGGAAGTGCTGGAGCTGGGATTGGAGTGCGGGTCTCACTGACACAGACTCTGTGTTCTTGACCACACAGCCTGTGCCCTTGGCCTCTCTACCCCCCACCCTTCCTCCAGCTGAGCTAAATCACAAAAGGCCAACAGGATCTCCCGGAGTAGGGCTTCTCTGGAGCAAAAAATGTCCTTGAAAAGTCACAGGGAAGAGAGAGGGAGATGATGTCATACCCTCTGGGGGAAAGGAAGGGTATAGGATGCTCGGTCTGGGGGATGACAAACTTGTGTCCTGGGAGGGAAGCTGGGCAGAGAGAAGATGGGAAATTTATTGTTCTGGTCTCATTTAAGTGTGATCAATGCTTTGGCTTCCAGGGAAGGACACAGGAGACTAAAAATAACTGGGAGGTAGAGCCCAGGGCTCCGAGGAGGAGAGGTGGCTGGCCTGGGTGAGTGTGCAGAAATCACCACTGGAAAATGCCCGCAGGCTTATGGGCCAATTAGCGGCTGGAGAGAGGAGGGACAGGCAGAAAGTCGAAAATTCTGCAGGTTCTATGGGGGGTGGAGGATCCACGACTGAGGGAGAGGCTGGAGCCAGCCTGGGGACCCAGAGGGCCTGACACCCTGGGCGTGGAGAGCCCTGTGACACCACCCACCTCCCCGCCCCCACCTCTACCGTGGCTCCTCCCTGCATTGAGATCCTTCAAAAAAAGAGATCCCCACCACCAATACTTGGTCTCAAGGGGCGATGTAATCTCTGAGAAAAAAAACAAACTGCCACGAACTGAGCACTCCCAACTCCTTCTCCCCTCCCAAGGCAACTATAAATCTTTCATGCCTTCCCTCTGGATTTAATTAGGTATTGATCTATTGTCAGATAACTTTCTTTCTTTCTTTTTTTTTTTTTTACTGCCTAGCCACAGGGTCAGCCATATATAACAAGAAAAAAAATCCCAGGGTGGCAAACAGGCAGCGGGATCTGCATGACAAAGGATTCCCACGCTCTCCTGGCGGGGCTGTCTCAGAAGGCTGCATTGCAGGGCTGCGTGGAGGGCTAGCTGCCGAGCTGCTCCTCATTAATTACCCTTGGGACAGAGGAAGCCCCGGCATCCCTGGGCCAGCCTCTCTGCTCAGAGCAGGTCCCTACAAACAGGCCCAGTGTCTGCTGTCTCATCTCCGCCAGGGGCAGGGGGGCGCCAGGGTCAAGCCCACATATGCTGACCTTATCCGCGATTCAGGGCCCTGACCCCAAAGTCAGGGCTCAGTTAGGGATTGTGGCAGGAGTATGGAAGGGGTGCGGCTGGCTAGCTGTGTGACCTTGGGCACAGCCCCCGAATTCTTGGGGCTTCAGTTTTCTCATCTGTGAAATCGAGGTCTAAGGCTTTCCAACTTTTGAACAGCAAAACCCTCTATTAAAAGGAAACCTTCCCGGAATGCCCTAACCCACAGAGCAGAGCATAGACAGCAGCTTTGGCTGAGCGGGAATGGGGGTCTCGGGAGCAGCTTGCCACCTATGGGAGGGGACCTCTAGGGTTCCTTCCAGATCAGCAATTCAATCATCTGAGTCTTGGCCTAAGATCCAGGGGCCGAGGCTCAGATCCTGGTTCTAGAATCTAGAAGGTATCTTGCCCTCCAGTCATTGTATGAAGACTTTCTTCAAGTTCCTGCAGAGGAGCCCTGGACTGGAGCAACCAGGAGAGACCAAATACAAACGTGGGGATGTGACATATAAATACTGCCCCAGGGCAGAAAGTGCAAGCCAGGAGGGACTCCCTGGGGAGCTATTATGAACTTAACCTGACCAATGACAGTTACATTCGCTAGTATGAATTCCACAGAGGTCGTGGGGGCAGAGGCCCAAAAGAGAATGGCTAACTGGAGTGACACCCCACAGCACTGCAGTGGTAGACCCAGGGACTAGTTCTAGTTAGGGCTATGAATTTTCCAGTTCTAAGTCCATGCCAGCACGTGGATAAACTGGTGACTTGGCCATCATGCATAGCTGCAATAGTTTTTTTTTTTTTGAGACAGAGTCTCACTTTGTTGCCCAGGCTAGAGTGAGTGCCATGGCGTCAGCATAGCTCACAGCAACCTCAAACTCCTGGGCTCAAGCAATCCTCCTGCCTCAGCCTCCCGAGTAGCTGGGACTACAGGCATGCGCCACCATGCCCGGCTAATTTTTTCTATATATATTAGTTGGCCAATTAATTTCTTTCTATTTATAGTAGAGACGGGGTCTCGCTCTTGCTCAGGTTGGTTTAGAACTCCTAAACTCAAACGATCCGTCTGCCTCGGCCTCCCAGAGAGCTAGGATTACAGGCGTGAGCCACCGCGCCCGGCCGCTGCAATAGTTTTAGCCTGGAAATTTTAAAAGCAGGTATTCTCCAACATCTCTCTTGGCCTTAAAAAAATCCCAATAAAAATTGGCAAAATATTGATCTTTCAGCAATGCAACTATATTTGTTTATGTATTCTTTCATTTATTCTACAAATATTTATTGCCTAACATGTGCCAAACTCTGTGCTAGGCTCTGTGGTGCACATGTGGTTTATAATCTACATGATCCATAATAAAAGCTTGGTGAGATATTTAAGATACTGGGTATTTTTGTTGTTGTTGTTGTTGTTTTTAGAGACGGGTTCTTGCTTTATCACCCAGGCTGTAGTGCAGTGGTGTGATTATCGTTCACTGCAACCTTGAAGGCCTGGGCTCAAGCGATCTTCATGCTTCAGCCTCTAGAATAGCTAGGACTATAGGTGCATGTCACCATGCCCAGTTAACTTTTTTATTAATGTTTTTTGTAGAGATGGGGGTCTTGCTATGTTGCCTAGGCTGGTCTTGAACTCCTGGGCTCAAGTGGTCCTCCTGCCTCAACCTCCCAAAGTGCTGGGATTACAGGCGTGAGCCACCGTACCTGGCCAGATGAATTACAGCATAGCCTTGGGGTTCAAACACCTGAGTGTGGGCCCAGCTCTACCACTTACAAGCTGTGTCTTCTTGGGTGAGTCTCTTAATCCTCCAAGCCTTGATTTCTGTACCTGTGCCAGGGGGAGAGTCATCATGCCCACCTACCTGGTGGGGACGTAGTAAGGATTAAACATGGCCTGCATACGTGGGCACTGAGAACTGCCAGCTGTCCAGTAGAGTGCCGTCTGTCTGTAACGGGGTCCCCTCTGGAGGAGGGACACGGAGGGGGAGGAAAGGGTGTGCAGCAGAGGCAGATCAATCAATTCAACCCCAGAGATCAATGACATGATCTGCGGTGACCGGCGTGCCCTCTGGCCTGAGTCGATGACTCAGACAGAACAGCGCACGTCATTTGCTTTATGACACAGCCTGCACGCTCTCACTGGGTTGATGGGCTCTGCTTCTGTCTGGAATCTTCCCACTCTGCAGGGGCATCACGGGAGGTGATGCCTGTGCTGTCTCCCCACCGAGTGTCACCTGGTTTGGGTGAGGTCTGAGTCATTTCAAATCTTATTTCGGTCTTCCAGGTTATTGGCACTCCCGTCTAATTGAATACTAACAGCAAGTGTTACGAGTGTCTTCCCTGTTCCTCGCCGTTTAACATCTGGGTCTCCGGGTATTTAGGTATGGGAAATGGGGCTACAAATCCCCAGATGTCAGGACGAGGGGTGTGTGGGCGGCTGAGCAAGTCTGGCACTTAGAGATGCTCATTGGACCTCTGTTCAAGGTCGCAGCCGGTGCTGGATTCTGGGAGCGGCTTGCAGGGGTGCTGTCCAAGGTGGCCAAAGTTTTACACCTCGGCACAGAGTGGGGCGAAGGAGAGGGTCCTGGGTGAATCTCCCGGGCCAGGGGTTCACCAACTAGCAGACCAGCCTCGTGCGTGGGTTGGGTGATGGGAGGGGACCCTTCCCTCTTTGGTGTCTGAATCCACACTTCTGCTCTTCCCAGGATCCCTGCCTGCCTGTTGTTTACAAGGCTGCTGCTGCCCCGCTCTCCTGATGACAACTTTAATGCCACTCAGAAAGGATTAAGATCTTACTTAAACACACACACAAAGCTCCCCTGGGCTCAGCTGTCAAGCTGAAGAGCTGAGGCGGCAAACCTTGCTAAAAAAAAAAAAAAAAAAGCCAGGAACAAAGTTGGAGGCATCACGAGGGAGATCTATGCTCAGCAACTGGCTGGGGAGACGTTTCCTGCAGAAACCCGCCCCGCTCTCCCCAGCCTGCCCTGCCACCTCTCGTCCCGCTTGGGGAGGGACAGAGCTAGAAGTCACCCTGACCACTGGCCACGTGGCAATGGTCAGCTGCCGCAGCCACAGGTGTGCCAAGTCAACTGGAGGCCCCAGACTCCTTTGGATGGAGAGAGAGCTCACTACCTCTTAGGCCAGGCTCTCCTGTTGGCGGTGGGCCATGCAAGGGGACCATGGCTGGTCTGGGATCTCCCTTTGGGTGCAGGTGCTGCCCTGGCTGGCTTCCCCCACGGGGATGCCACTGTGCCTTTGCACAGTTCACCTGGCACTGTTCCCACTGTTGCCTTGCCCTGCCCTCCTAGGAACCCCAAGGCAGATCTCATCGGCTCCCTCCTAAGGCTTAATGGGGCCAAGAGAGGTCGAGGACGTTCCCAAGCTCACACAGCTGCAACAAGGTGGGGTAAAGACTGAGCCTTGGTCAGTCGGCTTGGTCCAAATCCACCACTCCCTTCCCCTGTCCCATCACACACCCTACCTCTGGTCACAGTCCCCTGGAGGACAGCCCCAGTGGTCAGCCTTGGAGACGAGGCTCCTCTGTGTGCCCTGGAAGCCTGGGGCTTGCCCCAGCCCATGGGGTCTCCCAGCCCACCCTGGGGAGCTGTACCCTTGTGGGCACGGGGCCTACCTGCCTACCTGCCATGACGCCGGCCACATAGACAAGCCCGATTCGGGTGGCTCCATGCACCATTTCCAGGGGCACCCCCACCAGCAGCTGCAGCACCACGTTGAGTCCCAGGTGTTCTACCCTGCGACAGAGAGACCACCCTCACTCGTCCATTCATCCGTACAGCAAACACCTGGATCCTCAGAGATGCCAGGCTTCCAGCACTGAACAAAATGTCTCTGCCTTTGAGGGGCTCGTGGTCTCGGGGAGGAATGACAGCACAGGGGACCATCCGGGAAAGAGCGTTCCTTCCGGCTGGGACAGGAACACGTGCGCAGGACCTGGGTGGTGACTGGCAGTGTTTGCACGTGCCACCGTGAGAGAAGGACTAACCACAGTGAAGATCCAGCAACTCCATTGGTTAACATAGAAGAAACCAGGGCTCAGAGACGGGCAGTGACTGGCTTAAAGTCACACAGCTGGTGAGTGGCCAGGCTGGGACCACAGCCCAGGTCTCCAATCTGCCCAACCTGCTCCATTCCCCAGGCCATGCGGTGGCTCTCCCTTTGCAAGACTGCTGGTATTTAAAGAGGAAGATGTTCTCAAAACAAGGGCAAACACTGAAGATATCTCTTGTAACTTAATAATTCAAAGTTTTTCCTTAAAGTCTCATAGGAGAGGCTCCTTCCTGGTGTGAGAAGGGACCTGTTTTGCTCCAAAACTCCCAGGATCGGGAGATGGTAGCCCAGGATTTCGCACCCTGTGGATGCCTCCTCCGTGCACTGCTAAACACCTGCGAGCACATCTTGCTGCCGAACGCGTGGGGTGTCTGGCCGAGTGCGGATGTTAGCAGAAGAAACCGTTATATTAGGATTGCTAAATCAATGTGGTGCTTTCAAGTTTACAAAACACTTTAACGCCCATTATCTCACTTAAACTGACCCTACTGCACCTGGACAGCTGCACCGCTCCCTGGCGATGGTTAAAGTCAGGGAATAAGAGAGTCCGTAACAAGGGGTCCAGGTCCTGGCCTGCCTGGGTCACGGGCTCGCTCCTGGTCTGCGGGGCCCTGCCTGGAGGTCCTGCTGTGCTACGCAGAGAACATGTGGGCACCACGTGGGCACCTGCCGACTTGGGAGGGCACCTGAGAGGCAGCTCAGACAGGCTGGTCTGTGCTCTGACTTCCCGCCGTGCTGGGGTCATCTCCCCTCCACTGATGGTGCAGCTAATGGATTCCGTGGAGATTAGAAACGGCAGAAAAGCCCACCATAAAGGAGCTGGGTGACAGCGTCAGACTCACAGTCAGTAAGGCCATAGAGGTTTCTTGGTCCCGTGACCTGGTTAACAGCCCTGGAACCTGAGACTAGAACCCAGGGCTCCTGACTCCTCATCTGAGCAGGTGGGCACTGAGCCACCAGAAGCAACTGCCGGAGAAGGGCCAAGGCCACCCCTGTGGGCCTCAGCCGAGGGCATGTGTCCTGGCCACTGTGGGCACGCTGCCTCAGTTCTAGGAGGCAGGGAATGGAGCAAAGATGCTCTGGAGGCTTTGGCTGTTCTCTGGAGGCCAGAGAACAGTCCTGGATAGAAGGTGGGTAGTCGTGACCCATGGGCAGCCGGCACAGGGGAGCTATTCAACTCTTCCTTGGGGAGTCTTTTTCTGGTGAGGAACAGACATGATGGAGCCATGGGGGCCACAGCGATCCCCTTCCCATTTCTTGCCCAAGGGTCAGGCATCCCCAGGGTTTTTCCAGGCTAAGAGTGAGCCCCTCCACTTCTGTAGGGAGACTGGAAAGGGACTTTCAAGTCAGGGCTTCTACTATGTCAAAACAGTCTCCAGCCAAGATTGGTGCTCTTCAAGAGACTTGGACCTGGGTGGACGCCTGGCCAGCTGTAAGTCCTTATCATGCGGTGGGAGTCACCCATGAGAACTGATTGTGCTCCAGCCCCAAAAGAGGCTACAGGGCTCTGTGAACAGAAACTATGATCATTGCCAGAGGTCCTCAAGAAGACCCTCACCACATATGGAGACCACCTTGGGAGAAGGTGGTTCCAATAAATTAGTCCTTTATTTCACTTACAGAGGCACTCACACTCATAGTTACGGACAATAAATCTGGTGGCTGATCACATGTCCCTTTTTGCTTTGGCCACTAGGAAGCTCAGAACAAATTCTCAACCTACCTCTAGCAAGTACATAGAATCAGATGCTGTGTTATGTGTATACTGTTTTCCTTGCTAGCTTTCAGCATTTTCCTCCCTCCAGTTTCCCTTTCTCACATACTCTCAATAATGTACTTATATGTTTTGGTATTAAATGAGTTTCAAGTAGCCATCTCAAATCTTGTGCCCAATGAGATAAAAATAAACTAAAAAATATATTTCAATCCAGGCTATCTGGACCACTTATATTTCTGTAGGGACTTTCGAGAGAGCAAAAGAAGACAGGTACTCACCCCGCATGCATGAAGATGTATGTCAGGTAGCGCCACGCCTGTTCTCGGAGCTGCGGGTGGTAAACCAGCGAGTTCTTCAGGTAACGTGGGTGAGTTACCTGCAGTACAAACTGACCCAGTGACACCCCATTGTAGAGGAAAAAGGCAACCTGGATGAAAGCACAGGATGGCGAGGGCCCGTTACTAGGGCAGAACTGCCCAGGAACCTCCCTCTTGTGCCGACGCTGGGAGTCCCCGCAGGAAGTTTGCATCTTTCCTTTGCAGAGAATGAGGGACACCCCCACAGCCAGCGGCCAGCTTAGCTTCAAGCATCCCTGTCCCTCTTCTGTTTGATTACTTTGTGATAAACGGTCACAACATGCCACGTGGTCTCTCTGCCCACACCTCCTCGGTGCTAAACAGGAAGGGTTTGGATGATTTTACATTTTAATTCCAGTAATAACTCACCCAGCCTCTTGGGGAATGATGCAGTCCACATAGGTTGATTTAAAAAAACAAACTAGTGAAATACACATAGAATTTAACATTTTAATCGTTTTTTTTTTGTTTTTTTTTTGAGACAGAGTCTTGCTTTGTTGCCCAGGCTAGAGTGAGTGCTGTGGCGTCAGCCTAGCTAAACTCCTGGGCTCAAGCAATCCTCCTGTCTCAGCCTCCCAAGTAGCTGGGACTACAGGCATGCGCCACGATGCCCTGCGAATTTTTTCTATATATATTAGTTGGCCAATTAATTTCTTTCTACTTATGGTAGAGACAGGGTCTCGCTCTTGCTCAGGCTGGTTTCAAACTCCTGACCTGGAGCAATCCGCCCGCCTTGGCCTCCCAGAGTGCTAGGATTACAGGCGTGAGCCACTGCGCCCGGCCAATCAGTTTTAAGTATATAGTTCAGTGGCATTAAGTGACATGTTGTTGTACTACCGTCACTGCCATTTATCCACAGGACTTTTCATTTTGCAAAACTGAAATTCTGTTCCCATTAAACAACTCCCTATTCCCTGCTCCCTTCGGCCCCTGGAAACCACCATCCTACTTTCTGTCTCCATGCATTTGACTACTTCTAGTTACCCCATATAAGTGGAATCATACAGTATTTGTCTTGTTGTGACTGGCTTATCTCACTTAGCATGTTTTCAAGGTTCATCCATGTTGTATCATGTGTCACAGTTCCCTTCTTTTCTAAGGCTAAAAGATATTCCACTGTATGTGTATGCCACATTTGGTGTATCCATTCATCCATTGATGGGCACTTAGGTTGCTTCTACCCATTTGTTTGTTTGTTTGTTTGTTTAGAGATGGAATCTCGCTCCTTTGCACAGGCTAGAGAGTGCAGTGGTGTCATTATAGCTCACAGCAACCTCAAACTCCTGGGCTCAAGCAATCCTCCTGCCTCAGCCTCCCAAGTCGCTGGGACTATTAGCTGTGAGCCACCACACCCAGCTGCTTCTACCTTTGGGTCCTTGTGAAAAATGCTGCTATGAACACAGATGTACAGATATCTCTTCTAGTCCCTGCTTTCAATTCTTTTCGTATATACTGAGAAGTGGGATTGCTGGATCATATGGTAACTCTATGTTTAATTTTTTGAGGAAACGCCAGACTGTTTTCCATAGCAGCTGCACCACTTTACGTTCCCACCTACGGCGCACGAGGGCTCCGATTTCTCCACACCTCACCGACGCTCTGCAGAAGTTGATTCTGCACAGGACTGAAGCATACTTGTTTAAGCCCTAAAAGGGCATTTATTTTAACTCTTTCTAAAATGTACCACTTACATCCCTGTGTTCCTAATCAAGGCACGGGCATAGCTGTTTAAGGATGTCTCAGGTAACAATCTGAGCGATAAGAGCCGTGTCTTCTCCAGCAACCCCAGGACGATGTGGTTTTTGCTCCTACACTCAAGGCCTCAAATTCTTGTATTCTCTCTTTTTTTTTTGAGACAGGGTCTCGCTTTGTTGCCCAGGCTAGAGTGAGTGCCGTGGCGTCAGCCTAGCTCACAGCAACTTCAAACTCCTGGGCTCAAGGGATCCTCCTGCCTCAGCCTCCCGAGTAGCTGGGACTACAGGCAATGTGCCACCATGCCCGGCTAATTTTTTCTATATATATTAGTTGGCCAATTAATTTCTTTCTATTTTTAGTGGAGATGGGGTGTCGCTGTTGTTCAGGCTGGTTTCGAACTCCTGACCTCGAGCAATCCGCCCGCCTCGGACTCCCAGAGTGCTAGGATTACAGGCGTGAGCCACTGCACCCGGCCTCTTGTATTCTTTCTTTAAGATTTGGTCTACTTAAATATTTATTTATTTTATTTATTTTGAGACAGAGTCTTGCTCTGTCACCCTGGGCAGAGTGCTGTGGTGTCATCATAGCTCGCTGCAACCTCAAACTCCTGGGCTCAAGTGATCCTCCTGCCTCAGCCTCCCAGAGTGCTAGGATTGTAGGCGTGAGCCACCGCACCTGGCACCCTACTATTTTCTGTTATGGAATCCAAAAGCCAGGTTACTAGAACTGTTTGTACGACAAAAGCCTTGGGCTTTAGCACAAGGGCTTTGAGATAGTTATTTCAGCTATTTGAGCATTTCCTAGTTTCCTCTAGATGGGTGGTTCGAGTTTACACAGCTGAGATTTCTAGACATCTGAAATAACCTGGACACAAAATCTGGTTCCTCTGGACCAGGGGTCCTCAAACTTTTTAAACTGGGGGCCAGTTCACTGTCCCTCAGACCGTTGGAGAGTGCGGCCGCACATTCCACACATGCGCACTGTGGGCCCGGGACGAGTCGGCTGCTAAGCAGGACAGGCAGCGGCCGCAAAAACACCCCGTGGGCCAGAAAAATGTCCTCGTAGGTTTGAGGATGCCTGCTCTGGACCATCTTAGGCAAATTACTTGAATTCTCTGGTTTTCAGTTTCCTGGAAATGGGTACAAATGCCTATACTTCCAGAGCGGTCATGAGGTTTAAAAGTGATAGAGTCCACAAAGAGCCAGCCCGTGTCCAGCACACACTCGGAGAACAAAGCTATAATTAGTGCGGGGCTAATGCTGGGCTAAGCCTGGGACTGTCTCAGGCTCCTGGCAGCTGTCCTCTCCTGGGCGCCCCAGGAGCTGCTCTGTCCACCTCACGCCACGCGGGTGGCCTGGCAGCAAATCCAGCTTCCAAGGCGTCTCATTATCATTGGTCCTTGGATGGAAGTTAATAAATAGACAGACACAGTAAGCGCTGGAAGAACGAGTCCAAGAATATCTCAGAAAAAAAAATCGCAAGTACAACATGAACTTAGATGAAGCCATAACAACAAACAGAGGAGCTCTGGCCTGCAGACCAGATATTCTGATGTAGAAAAACAGAAGGAAAAAGAAGGATGCCACGAAGCCTCACAATCCTGCCGTTTGATTAGGCAGGAACTTTAGGAGAACATATGCAGAGGCAGTAATTAGGCCCGTGGCTTTGGAAGAGAAACAGCAGAGATCATAAAACACCAAAGGGAAGCCAAGCATCTATTCAGGAGCTGGAGCAGGGTGGAATGCACAGGTCCTGCATGGAACAGCCGGAAGAATTCAGAGTTTCATCACAAATGGGCACTGGCACAGCCAGTGGTACCTTTGCATTCTGTTGCATAAGCAGGACAATCTTAGCATAACAATAGGTCTGGATGATTCCCCGAGGGGAGAAGGTGCTGTAAGAATGGGAAGCCCATATTTCCCTGGTCATAAACTCCCTCCCCAGAAGTGTTTGTGTGACGCTTGCTTTTGTGTTCAGAGAGCACCCATAGCCATTCTCTCTCTGCCATTTTAAATAGAGCGTCCTGGGAGAGGGCGGGGAGCTCTGGTGACTCCTGATTTTGAGGTGTGAAAATAAGAGTCCCAGGGGAGCAAATGACTGGTCCCTGTTACCCACTCGGGGAGGAAATAAAATAAATTGGCTTTCACGAGTAGGCCTGCCTAAGGCCCCCCAAATCAGTGGCCCTAGGACATTGTTTTTGTTGCTGTCGTCCTGGTGGGTGTGGTCACGTGGGGGCACTACTACATCGCGTGTTGCTTGGCGTAATAGTTGTTGGAATGTCTCTTTGCAGGGCAGGGTTATACCAACCCTTGTATTCACCATCACGGGGTCTGACTTGCACCGACAACTGCTGTCTGATCCTCAGCCATCACCCTGCGGCGGAGAAGGATGTCCCCTCCCTCATGATCTCTGACACCTTCTCAGCTTCCCCCCCCATGTCCCCCACCTCCCCAGAGCTGAGCAGCCCCTTAACCTCCCCTGTCCTTGCCTCCAGCAGTGTGACCGTGAGCATGAACCAGGGCGGAGGGCAGCAGGTGTAGCTGTCGTAGTACCACTTGCGGTCAATCTCCCGGGGCAGGGTCTCATAGGCCACGTGGCGGATCAGCCGCTGCGAGAGGCTCAGCCCCTTCTCCTCCAGCAGGGCCTTGCTGCTCAGCCTGCGGTTGCCCTGCAGGATGGCCTGGCGGAAGCTGTTGGAACGCTTGTTGCTCATCTGTGCAAGAAACGGGGCGCAGAGAGGGTTAGCGGTGGGGCCTGGGGGAGCCCCCCAACCCTGTTCCCAGCCAGCATGCTCCTCAGACCAGGCCTGAGCCCGTACCTCCCTTCCTTCTGCAGGAGTTAGTAAGAAGCAACATTCACTGAGCTCTTACCGGGTGTCAGGGATGCTTCTAAGCATGTCACATGTTTTGGCTCATTTGATACCCATGATTCTACCTCTTAGGTAAGGACCATAACTATCCCATTCTACTGGATTAGGAAACTGAGGCACAGAGAGTTTTAGGAAGCCACCAGGTTCAAACTCAGTAAGACTCCAGAGCCTGTATTTGTGTTCACTGTATCTTTTTTCCATCCACTCACTCGTCATCCATCCATCACAGTTTACAGAGCAGCTGCTAAGTGTCAGGTGTATTACCAGACACAGGGGACACGGTGGCGCTTAAGACAGACAGGTAATCAGCAGTCACAGCTCAGAGTAGTGGCTGTTGTGGGAGTATGCACGAGGGGACCTAATCTGGTCCCAAGGTGGTCAGGGAGGGCTTCCTGGAGGAGGTGGTGTCTGAGTGAGATTCAGAGTCTGCCTGACTCCAGTCCCTGAGCTCTCTGCCCTCCTCAGAGCTTCCTCCCTGGCAAGCCCCCTCTCCATCTGGTCTCCAGTACAGCCCTACTCACATAGACAGACAACGGCTAGTTGCTCCAGCTCAGATCTCGAACAGAGAAATCCCTACAGTAACCAGCGACTTGCTGTCCTGAGCTCACACAGAGAGGCTCCACTGACGCCAGGCTGGAGAGAAGCCGCTCCCGGGCCCAGAGTGGCCTGCTCTGCCCTGAGACTGAGCAGGGCATCTTCTTGCAGCAAACACACTGGCGCTGGGGCTGCCTGTGCAGTCTCAACCCCGTGGCCTGGCCTTTGGTGGCACTGCTGGGCTCCATGTCACGGGGCTCCCCTCCACAGCCCATCCCATGAATCCTGACTGTCCCTACCTCCCCAGATCAGCTCAGCTCTGTCCCCCGCCCTCCCAGAGGTCTGCTCCCTGGGTCCCTGCGTCTACTCTGAACAGCAGTAGGTTCCTCCACCCCCGAAAGCCCCGTGGCAGCTCCCTGCAATCTTGCCAACCCCTGTGCCAAGGCCGGCCCTCGGCCAAGAGGCTGTTACAACAACTCCACACCCTGGGCGTCCACATGAGAGAGCTCGCGTGGCCCAGTGACAGGCTCGAGTGGTGCCTTTGGATTCTAGGAGCCTGGGGCACTTCACACGAGTCATCTCACTCTTGCTCCTGCCACGGGTGACAATGAAGAGAGGCGACCAGCTCCATTTCACCAGGAGGGAAACTTCTGGTCTTGTATTAGTCCTGCTTGTTCATGCAGCTTCCGCCGGAGTCCCGCCCGCCCCACTGTGCGCCTGCTCAACCCCACTGAATCCCGCCGCACAGCAGCCCCCCAGATGGCATAGAACTAACTCAGTGACAAGGAAGTCCCACGCTAGATACCAGGCCACCAGGCAAGATTCACGGGCCTGCCTTCTCCAGGCCCTTCGACGACCCAAAGCATTGTCCCGGAGTCTGAAGAGCGCTGGCCTGAGCCTCCCTCCCCAGCCCTTCTCCCGCCAGCAGTTCCCCCCCTCTTCCCAGCCCTTCATCCGGGTGGAACTGACCCCACTCCCAGCTCCAGGGCTGGGGCACTGACTGGTCTGAATCAATCCACCCATCCACTGACCCAAGCTAGACCCATGGGAGGGAGAAAATCTCAGGCCTTGTACAGAAGCTACCACCAAAACCAGGCCTCTCTCTTTCTGTTTCTCCATGGTGAGGCCTGAGGGCATGAGGGCTGGAGCAGATGCAGCCACAATGGGAGGGTGTGGGATTGCCAGGGGCTGACACTGCAGAAGGCAGAGCCTGAGAGCCAAAGAGAAGATGGGTCCTGGGTAGCACCCCCTCATCTGCCGAAGCCGGGACTGTCTCAATGCTGCGGTCCCGCAGACCCCTTTCATTGTCTCAATCCCTTTAATGCATCTCAGCCGCAACCCCAAGCAGGGGCCCCCCCCCCCCCCCCCCCCCCCCCGCCCGCCCGCCCCTAGGCAAGGGCCCCAGAGCGCTCACCAGGCTGACAAAGTCCTGGTAGCAGATCTGCCCGTCCGCGTGGCTGTCGGCGAGGGCCAGGAGCACCTCCCTCTTGTGCGGGTCCAGCTTGGCGCTGTGGCTCTCCAGGAGGCTGCGGAACGTGCCTGTGCTGATGTAGCCCGTGCTCCCGGGGTCGAACTGAGGGGGAAGCACAGGCAGCGGCGGGCTGAGTGGGCCAGCACGCTCTGAGCACGGAGGTGGGTGCCCCGTCTCCTCCACCACAGGCCCTGTCCCCGGCCCGCTGCCGGCACAGACCCCGTGGGGTCTGAGAGGTTTGCAAGGCCCCCTGGGAAATACCCAAACAGGGCAGGGACAACCACATACAAGCCTAGAGGGCCACACAGACCTTCAGGGCCACCCCGTCTAACACCTCTCATGGATGAGGAAACTGAGGCTGAGGTTAAACTGCCCCCCGCCCCCAGCCCTTCCTGCTGACCACGGAGAGGAAAGCAGGAATGAAGAGGTGATGAGGGCAGGGAGTTGAGGGACTTCTGGGGTTTGGGACAGGGGAGAGGATGGCAGGAAGAGGAAGTTTCAGCAGAAGACCTTCTGGGGTGACAGGCAAAGAGGAAGGGCCCGAGGGACTCCAGAGGGGCTGCCTAAGGGCCGGGGTGGGAGCACAGTCTCGCAAAATCTCAAGTCCTTGTACACGTGGCCGCCGGCCCCTCCCACACCCACACCCCTGGCGGGGCTCCCTGAAGACCCTCTGCTCGGCTGCTTCTGTTTGTTTCTGTGTGTGTCTCTGTGCATGCGTGTGCGCGTGTGCATTTCACACCATGCTCTTTTGTCCTTCGCAGCTTTGCATGCGTGGGACCCCGGCCTAGGAATCCCTCTCCTCCCTCCGCTCCCTGGGAGGCTCCCACTCACCCTTCCTGACCACTCAGCCGCCCCCTTCTCCGGAGGCTCCCCGCAGACGCGGCCTGTTCTCGCCGCGCCCCCTACACTTGGGCCAGACCTGCGGCCCCAGCCCACGCCGGCCCCTCCCTGGCTCCTCGCAGGCTGGCATCGCAGCTTTACCTCCCAGTGCTGAGCACAGAGCCCGGCCTCATGGGCACTCGGGGAAGATGTGTCAGATGAAAACACAGAGGATGTCCAGAGGAACAGACGGACACTGATCTTCCACGAAAAGCTTTGCCGGCTCAGTTAGGAAGGGCAGGGCCACATTCACCTCTCCCTGAACCTGCTGTCCATCTTTCCCCGCCGAGCCCACCCAATCCCCCAACACACACACCCCGCTGGGAAATGACGCTGACCGCCCCTCGTGGGCGCCGGGGGCCCTCCTGTCCCCAGAGTGCGTCCCCACGCAAGGCTCTGCCGCAGCCCGGACAGGCTGCTGTGAGCCGCTTAGATTTTAAAGGGCAAACAGACAGTGTGTGTGCAGGACGAGGAGGTCCGGAAGACCAAACCCATGTTTTCTGGTTTTTTTAGATAAGGTCAATGGAGAATATTTTAGAAAAGGGGATTCTGTGTGCAGCCTTTCTAAGATAATCCAAGAGAAGTAGCCAAGAGTCCCAGTCACGGAATATTCCAATTCTCCCCAGAATCCAACAAGAGAGGACATTTCTTTATTTATTTTCGAGACAGAGTCTCACTCTGCTGCCGGAGCTAGAGTGCCGTGGCGTCAGCCTAGCTCACAGCAACCTCAGACTCCTGGGCTCTAGTGATCCTCCTGCCTCAGCCTCCCAAGTGGCTGGGACTACGGGCATGCACCACCATGCCCGGCTAATTTTTTCTATATATTTGTAGTTGCCAATTAATTTGTTCCTATTTATAGTGGAGACGAGGTCTCGCTCTTGCTCAGGCTGGTCTCGAACTCCTGACCTCGAGTGATCTGCCCGCCTCAGCCTCCCAGAGTGCTAGGATTAGCAGGCGAGCCCCCAGACCATTGATTTATTTATTTATTTTTTTGAGACAGAGTCTCACTTGTTTGCCCAGGCTAGAGTGAGTGCCGTGGCGTCAGCCTAGCTCACAGCAACCTCAAACTCCTGGGCTCTAGTGATCCTCCTGCCCCAGCTTCCCAAGTGGCTGGGACTATGGGCATGTGCCACCATGCCTGGCTAATTTTTCTATATATTTTTAGTTGCCAATTAATTTGTTCCTATTTATAGTAGAGACGGGGTCTCGCTCTTGCTCAGGCTGGTCTCGAACTCCTGACCTCGAGTGATCTGCCCGCCTCAGCCTCCCAGAGTGCTAGGATTACAGGCGTGAGCCACCGCGCCCGGCCCATTTATTTTTTATTATTTTTTTTTTATTTATATTTTTTTACTTTTTTCTTCTTTTCTTCTATCATCAGTCCTGACCTACCGGCCCATTTATTTATTTAAAAAAAATGCTTTTAGAGACAAGGCATCCCTCTGTCACCCAGGGTAGAGTGCAATGACACAATCATCCCTCACTGCAGCCCCGAACTCCTGGGCTCAAACGATCCTCCCACCTCAGCCTCCCAAGCAGCTGGGACTACAAGCATGTGCCACCACACTTGGCTTGGGGACTATTTTAAAGCCTGTATATTCTCCCCACCTTCAAGCCAAAATGCCAGGTTTCAAGGAAGACACCTAATTGGTTCACAGCATCAAGTATTTCAGGAAACTCACTTACCTACTTGCTACTCTGTAAAGATCTTAAAGAATAAAAACACCTAATATTTGCTAAGTGTTTTCATGGGGCCAAATACTGCTCTAAGCACTTTACATAATTTCTTTGACCCCTACAACAGCCTTATGCAGCGGATCCTATTAACATCCCCATGGTACAGAGGAGGAAACAGGGGCACAGAAAAGTTAGCACAGAGCGGGTAAACGACTTGCTCAGCAGGTGGCAGCGCCAGGACGGGGCAGCTGAGCGTTGCCTCTAAATCATGGCTGGTCCCACCAACCTTCAGCCTCCAGGGGCTGCTCTTCTGCTCAGAAGCAAAATTTATGGACAAAAGCAGTTAAGTGCGGACCCAGGAGAGGCAGGGGCTCCAGGAGTCTCACAGTCCTATATTAAATAGATTTTTAAAGCAGGAAAGTGCCTCAAACAGCACCAGTTCTGACCTCCTTATTGCTTGATAAGGGAATTGAAGCCTAGAGAGGGGACGTCGCAATGGTCTCCTTTCTTGGTGCCTGGGACGCCCCCATCGCTGCAAGCCACCTGTACCAACTCCCACTCCATCGCAGCAGGGACTCGGGTCCCACAGGCCCTCCAGTGCTGGGCGGGCAAATAGGGGTGCGGGTGGGGGTGGGGGTTGAGTCCTGGGAAGCAGTACGGCAGGCACCGCAGGGGGCAGGGGTCTCTCCAGCCTCAGCTGGGGGAGGGAGCCCAGTGGCTCTGCAGGGACCAATCGCCTCCCAGGGGCTGCCTCCCAGGCTAGGGAAGGCTGCGGTGGGGGTGGGCTGGGGAGGCTGGGTCAGGCTCCAGACAAAGAACCACCTGCTCCCCTCCCCTCCCCCCCTGCTGTAGCCCTGGTGACTCCTCCAGCCCCCACCCCCACCAGGGCCTGCCCGCCCTGCCCCAGCGCAGGACAGGCTCCAGACTGCAGAGAACAAGCTGGAATCAGGCCAGTCTCGCTCTCTGCCAAAACTCTACCTTTCATGGCAGGGCCAGACAGGCCAGACAATGGGGGGTCACGGCTACCCTAATAACGAGGCCCCGGGGATGCCGGAGGATGACCGGGGGGAGGGAGAGGCAGGGATGGCGGCTGCTGGGGCTTCATGAGTGCACACAGGACACCTGTCCACCCCTGCCGCGACACCTGGGAAGAGGAGGGCGAGGGCAGGCACTGATCCTGGCCACGGGGCACGGGGGTGAGGGACAGAGCGAGGGAGACGAAGGGAGAAGGAGACTCAGAGACAGCGCGTGTCCTGAAGGCAGGAGAGGAGGGCCCCACTGCCCCAGCAGGAAGCTGAGACCTTCTAATGGAGGCTGCACCCCTCACTTGGGGGAAAAGGCAGGGCTAACCCAGTCTTGCCTCGGCCACTCTGAGGTTGGTGCGCTCTCACCCGCACGCGGCCGGAGCATAGGCAGCCTGGCAGCTCACCAGGCCCGGGGGCTCCGTGACCTGCTCCACTTGCCTGTGCCATTCAAGTGGGCAAAGTCCCCGCAAAGCTGGGCGCACCCCTCAGCCAGGGAAGCATGGCTGACCCTCTCTGGGCACCCCTCTACCCTCTGGCCTCCCGCACAGCCCGCTAGGGGGAGGAGACCTGTGGTTGGGGGAAAACAAGCCCCATAAATGCAATCTCCTCGTTAATAACGTGCTGAAGGTCCCGAAGCCCCCAGGTGCTCCGAGCCCTGGATTCGCCCACTTTAGCAGGGGGCGCTCAGGATGAGGTCTGGGCTGGTCTGGGGGTGCTGGGGGCAGCTGGAGCAGTGTGGGCTGTGAACAGGCTCTGGGAGAGCCCAGCGGCGAGCCAGGCGCCAGGGAGCACCCTGAGCTGCCTCCTGAATCGGGCCCAGCGTGGAGCCAGGGCTGGCCACTTGGGGCAACGGGAGGGCTGGCCATGTCCACGGTCAGCCGAGAAGAGGATGCTGAGTGGAGGGAGGAGACGAGCAAGGCGAGGAGCCAGCCTTGAAAAGAGTTCCAGAGGCTCTGAAGGACTTTTATTTAATCCCACCAGTACCCAATACCCAGCCGAACCCCTAGGTGGCCAGTTCCCCTCAGCCTGGGGGCTCACACACATCCCCCCTCCCCACCTTCCACCCTGCACCCCTTCCTGGGGCACTTAGTCCACCCAATTCTCTCTGTATTATTGCCATCTGGGGCTCCTTCCCCCTCTCTGGGGCAAGGGGTATGGGGAGAGTCCAGGGAGGAGCCCCCAGTTCCAGCTGCTATGCCATCTTAGTTCATTCAACCACCCTGCCTCAGTTTCCCCATCAATCAAGTAAGAATGTTCCCTTCTCAAGGAGTCGTAAGGGGGGGGTCCATGCACACCCCCATGCATATAGGCATGTCATATGCAAATGGCAGATAGGGAAAGAGAAATCCACAGCCCATGGGGGCAGCCGGCTTTCTATTGTGAATTCTTACAGTCAAGGGGCTGATGGGAAATTCAGGGTCAGGATGGGGGCTCCACGTGGCGGGGGTGAGGTGGGGCTGGGACCACTTGGATCTGTGCTGTCAGAGACACCTGGCAACACTGGGGAGAGGGAAGCAGGTCGGG